GATACAGAAAAATAAGTAAAATGGAAGTTAAATGTATTACAGTCAAATTTTTACATAGTTATATTTAAGTACATTGAACAACTTAATATTGCTGTGTTGCTTGATATTAGCAAAACATGCATTTCTCTGTAGAGTGAAACTTCTATGTTAATTGCACCATTTTTGATAAAATATGATTTTTTAAAAAAAACTTGGACAATTGCAAGTTAGGAATGACCACATCCAAGCTTGGGAGATAATAAAAATATTCAGGGAGTGAACATGAAATCTTGTTTCAGGTTATTAATGCTCTGTAAACAGTTGACAACAATATTAGACAACATGACAAACTATGGAAGAAATTCCAGCATTAGATAAAACAGATTATTTCATTTCCTAGGTTTTGATAGAAGAAAATGTGGCAGTTTTAAACTCAACTGGCAGAACTTAGTCTTTTACGTTTTATGAAACTTTTGTTTTCCTGTAATTTTGTATGAGTAAGATACAGCACAAATATTCAGGCACACTATTTTGAAATGCAGCTTTATTGTAATGTGATTTTTCTAATTTACAACATAGGATTTCCTGTACTAAACTGTGTGGAGACACTTTCTGTGCAGCTCAGTGTTTTCTCTGAGTTTATTAGCAGTCATCTTTTAAGCGTTGAAAGGGTATGGAATTTTTATGTAGTGGAAATTATTAGCTGTGTTTTTATTAAAAGCAGTACTTATAATTTCCAGGGTTTATAAAAATGTCCTTATGCAAATCCTTTATTTGTGTATCCCAAGTGGATGTAATGTAGGAAGTGAAACAATAAAATGCTGAGAATTAATGAGAAGCTGGAAAATAACTTCAGAATTGCTTAACTGAAAATTGATTTTCTACCTGCTGGATTATAATCATGTTAATGATTTAAATTCTGTAATCCTTGCTTCCTAAACTAGGAAGTGTTATTAGAGATAATGTTAATTTCATTATTTTTAGGTTGTTTGTTTAATCTTAAGTGCAAACCTTTCTAAGAAAGTAGTTTTGGTCAGTAGTCTGCCTTAAATACATTACTCTATGTCCGTTCTCCACGAAGATCAAGCGAGGACGTTTTGCTAAAATATTTATCACTCTACAGTGATATGTGGCAGCTGTCTGAGGATAGTTTTACCTGAAACTACATGGATTTTTTATTTCTAGTCAGAGAAATAATGAGCTGTGTGTTCCAGGCGAGTTGAAGTAATGAAACTGTCTGTGCAGTTTCATTGGAGGAACGTGTGTGAATCGCACATTGACAATATATCTTTTATTCTTTGCTCTTTTCCTGTGCCTGGCCTTGTTACCAGAATTTGATCCTGAGGTTTTTCACGTGTTTGGTGCCTTTATGCAGATGTCACTGAGCTGATCAGATAAGCTTACAGTGTTGCAGAGCCCTGGTGGGAAGGAGCCGCAGCTGTGCGAGTGTGAGAGGGAACATTTCTGGGAAAGGAGACAATTCCCCCAGAGTGAATCCATATCCAGGATGAGGCAGTATGTGCAAGTTCCAACTGTTGAGCAAGAAAAAGCGTATGATTATAATTCTGCTTTTCAGCCGAGGCCATGTATGTGTTTGGGTAGGTGAAATTCCCATTTTCTGATGGCGGGGGCTGTGTCGTACTGCTCTTGTGTAGAATAAATGTGTGTAAAAAGAAATACCTGTGCAGCTGGTAAATGTGTACAGTTCTAACATGAAAAATGCAGATTATCAGACTTCTTTAGCAGAAGAGAATGTGCATGTTTGAACTTGATAAAAATCTCACTATTGGAGAAGCAAACAATATTTTTTAAACCTTATACATTAACTTTCACATTACAGTGCAGAATTCTCTGTAGATATTGCTTTAACCTCTATATTTACTTGCATAAAATGATTTAAAGATGTGTGCAAGGGGGAGGCCATTAAAATGTAAATTTTGTCTGACATTAAAAAGAAATTGCCATAAGATTTTTCCTCAATAAACCTTCATAAAATGGAATAGCTTTTTTTTTTTCTTACTTGTGTTCTATAGACCTACAAAACAGTCAATGTGAAATGAATGTGTTTATCCAAATAAATTTTTATCTGTGTTAAATTGCTATCCAAGAGAATCCATTTTCAGTTGCTCAGCTTCTGTTCATCTTTGACAAGATTCATATTTTTAGTCTATGTAGTAAAATGTTCCTAAATTTTATGGGTTACTTTTAATGTAGTTTGTTGGCTTGATCTTGTGGCAATTTTGTTCTGTTGTCTTTTTTTGTTGTCATTGTTTCTGAAATATTCACACATTCTTTAAACCTATTCCTATGATTTTTTTTCAAAATGATATAACTGAGCAATGATTAGTAGTTTTCCCACAAAATCTGTGTCGTGACTGTTAACTATTCTGGTTTTTGATTTAGGTTGTCATTTATTTCTGTGTTGTTTGGAGTGCCTGTCAGTTTTATTTCTGACAGTGCTCTGCTTGGAGGCTGAAAACTGACAGATTAAATCTCATTTTCTGATACTTGAATGTTCTGTTTAATGTAGGAAGTTCTTTTGGTGGTATTAACATCATAGTTTTTTAAGTTTATACTTGGATGATACAGAATTTTTGACAAGTTTATGGGGTTTTTTTTTTCCATGTAAACAGTTCTATAATTAAATACATAGCAATGTAAAAAATACATAGCAAAATCCAAGATGAGGAAGAAATTTCAAGTCTTGTGCATACTTACTGTTAGGCCTTTTTTTGGTGTCAAAATTCATTATGTTCCATAAATTTGGAGAGCAGTATTTCAAAAGAGCAATATTATGTTTCCACTAAGTGAAACCATGTGGTAAGGCCGTCAGAATGAGTTGGTACTGTTACCTGATCTTTTTTATCCATCTCAAAGAAGTAACTGGATCCAGATTTTGTGTTAAATTTGTGTAATTAACACAGGTTTGAAACACCAATTTAAGATTTAAATTGCAGTTCTTTGCAAAGATTTTCTTGTTCTGTCACTTAAAAAGACAGAAAATAATTCTAAAAAGTATTTTGATTGCCTGTCTTGCAATATTTTAGATTGTTTTCCTTCTCTTACGTTTTAGGTAGTTGCATGCTACAGTTATTGTTAGAATATTTTGTTACATTTAGTACTGGTCAAACACACTGTTTACCATGGACCAAAGTTAATGGTCAACCATGAGGTAGAAAGCCAAGTACAAAGAGCACTGAGCCACAGAGTGCTGCAGAGTTGCATACCTATCTCAAAAAATATTTAGCAATAATATGTTGGGTTTGGTGGATTTTGATAGTTTTACTTGAATTTCCCAATATGGAGTGATATACAAGACACTGATACAGTACTCCGTTCTTATTTTGATTTTCATTACTTCTAAGATGTTGTATAACATTGCTCTCAATAGAATATTTTTGTAGAACTGTCTAGATTATTTCTATTTTAAGTAGGATTTTAATCTATTTTCATACCTGCATTTTCCAGCATATTGAAGAACTTTGATTTTATCTACTTCATTCCTGCAGCTTTTTTGTAAATGTTGATTTTTACATTTGTTAGAGCTCCATGAGTAAGACATCAGCAGGAGTGATGTGAAGAACTTGACAGTATTACAAAGTACCATTTAACAAAAAAATTCTCAATATTTCAGTTGTTTATTCCTTGAATGCTTTTTATTTTCATAATTATGTATTGAAGTAATGAGTCAGTGTTGATGTTACTGGTGGCACAGGACTCTCAATTCATAAGCTGGGCACAATTCAAATCCATTGGGAAGAACTTTGAGTTAAGGCACAGTTTTAAAATCATAGATCTATATTCAATAATTGTCTGTGATGAAATAAGTGGCAAGAATTGCCAAAGTATGAGCAGAATACATTTTTTATCCAAGAGACAATAGTATCAGAAAGCAGATGTAATTGAGGGAAAATGTCTACTCCTGTAGAGTCTTGTAATTAAAACTGGGCACAGCAGGTGAAATCTTTGTTATGAACCTCCCTTATGTTCTGATAAGGGTGGTTAAAAACTACTAAGATTACTTGAATATCTTAAGTAAAGAAATACAAGTCTTGATGCTTTTGCAGAGGAATTGTAATCATCAAAAGTTTCTGCCAAGATACCCTTTATTGTTTGCATTTTTTACTGTTTTTAGCAGTGTTGTAAGATTTTTCTGAGTATGTAAATGGGTATCTTTACTAAGACATTTGTAAGGTATTTAGCTGCTCTGAATCTTTCAGGTGTTGCAACTTGAAAGACAGAATCTGCATTAAAAACAAGGAAGTCTACCCTGATAAACAGTTGGATAGATATCTAGAGACTCTTTTTTTTTCTTTTGTGCTGAGTTTTAACCTAACTCCAAAGTTCTAGTAGTTCTTAGTGCTAGAAAAAGGACCAAATAATGCTTTGCAGGTTTGTTACCTTTTTAAAGCAGGTACTATGACTTTTAAAATGATTAAAATTGAAGTTACATGCATTGTTCTGATTATATGGATTAGTAGTAGAGTAGAAATGAGATCAAAAAATCTAATTTCTCTGTTTCAAGTGACTCTCATTTCACTGATGCCTGGTAAAAGGAAGGATAAGTGACAAGAAAGGCAGAGCATGTTTTGTATATTATGGTTTATATTGGTTTATATGGGTGCCTTTAAAACAAATTTCATTTTTATTTTCTTTTTTTTTTTTAGAATAATGCACATAATGCACATTTGGGTGTTTTGAAACAGTCATTCATAGTGAAGATAAACCTGCAAATGAACTAGCTTTGGTTTTAATATGACTCAATTTTAAAATGCCTTGACTTTTCTGCATGTTTTGAAGTGTGGATGGCAGCTGCATTTCTGGTACCCGAGATCCTCGCACATTTTCTCGTGTATTGCAGTGTGCCAGTCATTTTCCTTATTGACTTACTTGGACTTACTTTCAGTTCCCTTGGTTTTGCTTTCTTGCTGATAGCAAGCTGAATTCAGTGTTATCTTCTTCCTCCATGCTTGTCAGCTTGTCCCTTCAATGAGTCCCCAGAAGTGCATCCTAAATCCCGTTGGGTAAATCTCTCCGCAGGAGTTTGCTGCTGCTGTGCTGCGCTGCGACCTCGCTACAAGCGGCTGGTAGACAACATCTTTCCTGAAGATCCAAAAGTGAGTCATGCCTTTAAAAATTTAAGGGATTGGTGTTTGAAAGTCTGTGATTATACCTTGTGATTTAGCAGGTTTTTTCATTTTCTTTTTTCTTTTTTAACATTTTATCATAAATTCTTCTTTAGCGCTTAATAGCTTTAAGATAGGTTAGCAGAATAATTTATCTGGAGAGGGATCCATGGAGATCATCTGATCTAATTCCATTTCTAAAGCAGGGATGCACACTGAAGAATAAAATTAATATGTTTTGCTCAGAGAAAAAGAGATTTCATTAAACAAGGTATTCTGCTGCAGAGGTAGCACTTAACTTCACTTTTTAGAACCCCAGACAATTGCTTTCTTGTGGTTGCAGGTGTGAACATTTTCTGATTTTCTACAGGATTTTAACTGTTTAACTCTTGACTTACTGACTGTGAACATTTTTATAGTTCTGACCCAAAAAGGTTTTTGTGGTGTTTTTTAAAAATTTTTCCAGATGCTCATCTACAATTTTATTTTTTCATTTCACTGTAACAGTCTTGGAGCTATATTAAAGCCTAACTCTTACTCTCTGTGAAAATAAATAACTTCACTTTACCATGGAGAAATGCATGTGTCCATACATAATCATTTGACAGTTCATACAGATCAAGAGCTTATGTTTCTGCTGCTCTGTTTTCTTAAGTGTGTTACCAAATTTTTATATCTTTTGTTATAGTAGAAGTAAGCAGCACAATCAGTATTTGCATAATATTTGGTTTATGTTTACAAAGTATGTTGGCTTTTTTTTAAATGATGATGTTACTCAGTGCCAGGTATTATGTACGTGCATAATACTGGCTTTTAAGGAAATTTTTTCTGTGTATACAATATATTGAATGCATGGAACAGTATGGGTTTATAGGTTTATTTGTTCTAATCTAGTTTTTGATACAGATGTAGAAACACCTGGAAATGCTACAGCTGTAGTGTTTTAGTTTAATAAATTGACTCAGTAGCTCTGAGTTGGCACTTCTTAGTCACTGCTTTGGTTAGTATTCATTGGGTCAGTGGAGGACACAGGCCAGTTCATGATGTTTCCCTTCAGTTGCACACCTTCTCTATAGTATCAGAAGATTTGCTTGATAAAATGCATTAATCAATAATTAATGTCTTAAAAGATTTAAGTAATTTATTTGAAAAATAAATGGTTTTATGAAATTCCAGGGGAAAAAAAAGACAAAAAGCCTTATCCTGTTTACCTGATAATTATGATCATAACCTCATCTGAGCAGATCTGTGTTACAGTTCATATTGGAACTAATATCTTAATCTTTGATCTTGTTCTGACAATTAGCCCTCAGATGCCTGGGTGCCAGCCTTGTTCAAGATATGACACAGAAAAAATAAAACATTAAACTACAATATTAAATATTTAAACAATCTTGCTTGTATATTTTATCAAAATTATGCATTGAATATACTTGGTGGGGGGATGGGAAGGGAAAAATTTACATTGTGCTATTAGGAAAGAAGTGTGTCTTAGAACTGGTCACATATCTTACTACAGATCTTCTCTTAGAATACTCATTCCCTCACAAAAAAAGGGTGGAGCAAGCTAGTTGCATCATTTCCTTTAAAAATATTTTAGTTGTTTCATGTTGCTGATTTTTGAACTAAGGTTATGGCAGTTTTGCTCAATAGTTTTGGAGTTTTTTCAGTAGCTTATTTCCATCTGTAAGGCTCTGATTGCTCTGATCTTTAAATATTAACTAGAAAAAAAGGAAGAACAATTAGCTTTATATTTCCTATGAATTGTTTAATTTTCTATTTTGTATTTCTGTTTCTAGGATGGTCTTGTTAAAGCTGACATGGAGAAACTGACTTTCTATGCAGTTTCTGCACCAGAGAAGCTGGATCGAATTGGGGCTTACCTGGCAGAGAGACTGACCAGGGATGTGGCCAGACATCGCTATGGGTAAGGAGAGAAGTCATTAAAAATAGATGCCAGCTAGTCATGGAATTTCATCATGTTTGTTCTGATCAAGTCTGGAAAGCAAGGCAGACCCAGTCCCTTTGTGGTCAGTTACCCTTGTCTGACTGCCAGGCTCCCATCCAGCTGCTCTCACTCTCCTGCTCAGCCAGATGGAGAAGAAAATAAAATGGAAAGCTCATGGGTTGAGATAAGGACAGGGAGATCTCTTTTTGTCCATGATGGAACTGAGTCACTTAACTTGGGGAGGATTGATTTAATTATTGGCAGTTAATGACAGAGTAGGATAATGAGAAATTAAACTAGAACTTAAAAACATCTTTTCTCCAGCCATCTTTCTTCCCAGGCCCAACTTCACTCACAAGTCCATTTCCTCCACCCCACCAAGCAGTGCAGATTAGGACTGGGGACTGTGGTCAGCTCATACCATCTTGTGTCTCCTGCTACCCTGCTCTGGCCTTGGCTCTGTCCTTGTAGGCAGTGCTTTAGGAACTGCTCTGGCATGGCTTCTTTGCTCAGGGTGCAGTCCTTCAGGAGCAGGCTGCTCCAGCATGGGTCCCCCATGGGACCACAGATGCTGCCAAAAGAGTTCCTGCATGGGCTGCTCTCCATGGGGCCTGTGCCTGTTCCAGCTGGGCCTTTCTGTGGGCAGCAGATTCGTTCAAGGCACAGCTGCTCCAGCTGGGGCTCCTCCATGCTCTGCACTGTGGATCTGATTACCTGTGGGCACTTCCAGTGTCCTTGAGGGGCTCAGGTTTGGGAAATTAGGGGTCAGTCTTGGAGCTGGCTGTGTGTGTCATGGTGACAACTCCTGGTTTCTGACAGGAACCACCCCTGCAGCCCCTTGCTGACAAAACCTGGCTAGGTAAGCCCAAAACACCTTTGAATGTCAGTGAGGATATAGGAAAACAGCATTATCTTTCTTTTCAGCCCTTTTGGCTAAATCAAATATTTAAGTGAGAAATATTTTAAGTCCAAGAAGTGGCAGGAATTGTTAAAGAAAAGCAGCATCCATTACAGACCACCATTTTTTGGCCTTCATGACATCCAAAGCTGTTCTTATAACTTTATAGAGAGGATAAATAGCTAACACTCAATTCTATACTTCCCTCCCTCCTACACTACCCCATCTCCTCCCAAAAAAAGAGAGAAAATATAGATGTAGAAAATAGCTCCAAGTGTCATTTTTATGCAATGAGAAATATGCACCTTCCATTCTTTCTTTTCTATTTTTTGTGGTAAGATCCTAAGTTGAACTAATTGAGTTAATGATAAATGCAATACATCTTTATGTGTCTCTCTAATTAATTTTCAGTTATGTTTTAATTGCCATGGAGGCACTGGACCAACTTCTAATGGCTTGCCATTCTCAAAGCATAAAACCATTTGTGGAAAGTTTCCTTCATATGGTGGCCAAGCTTCTGGAATCGGGCGAACCAAAGCTGCAAGTCCTTGGGACTAATTCTGTGAGTAAGCTCAGATGATAAATCAAATCAGAGTAAGTAAATCTTTGCTTTGAAAAGTAGTTTGAGAGGTATTAAAGGGTCTGCCAGTTGACATCAGTTGAAAGATGCTGTCTGTAGCAGGGTGTATCCTTTGGGCCTAGACACAGAGCAGATACCAGCTGGAGGCAGATAAACTGTTTCCCTGCAGTATCCCAAATTCTTTTGATGTGTGGGCTCATTCCCTCCAAAAATAACTTCTGGAAGGAGCAGGAAAGCTGTGCTGTGAGTTCATGGTTTGGGTCTTTAAGCAGCCCTCCTGGAGCCAGTATATAGGTAAGACAGTGTTTTGTTTTCTGGCAGCTTAAGCTACACAGAAAGATTCTTCTTAGCTGAAAAGTAACTTTGAGTATTGCAATCTCACCCTCTTATCTGCTTAAATATTTCAGGATTCAGATCCAGGCTTGAAGGGCATAACTAAAAGTGTCAAAATGAAGATTTAGAGATCCAGTTTTCCAATTAAGAGTGATGGGTGCAATCAAGGGTATAGCTCTGTAATACTTGCCTTCTAACTACTGTATTGTCCAGCTGGTAATATTAGAATCTCATAAATTCCAGGATTGTGATGTGGACTGTTTTCACTTAGAGTTATTGCTTTTACATGAGTACAGAGTACTTGCTTTTCATGTAAATTATTGCCATTGCTAAGAGGGGAGATTTCTTTGTGGAATCAGTAAAGCTGTTGGGCTTTTGGGTTTGGTTCCCAGCTGATGAAATTAAATGGAGTTGCAGCTCAGGAAGACAGGAGGGCACAGTAACCTGATGTTACCCCAGAGCAGGATTTCTTGTTATGGTGAAATAAAGAGAGTTTTGCTGCAATGTAGGGTAGAGGTGTCCCTTGTTCCCCCACTAGCAGGGCAGCTGTACTGAGGATAACAAGATCTATATCTCATTGTACATATAAAATTTTGCTTATTTATTTAAATATCACTGAGCCAGGCTACCCTGCTTCTTTTGACTTGTTTGTATAATAATGCCTGGGCAAGTCCTTTTAGGGAAATGACTTTGGAACTTGTTTCCTAGGCTGCTAAAGGCAAGGTGTGCATCACTTTCCAGTTTAAAATCATTGGTTAGTGTCAGCCTCCACTCTGATGTACAAGTCATGTGTCACTTCAAAATGCATGTTACTGAACAGGACTCCACTTAGGATAATCTGTTTGATATTCCTGTTGGTTCCTAAGTCTTTTGTGAGTAGAGAAGATTAGGGACTTGCTAAATTAGTAGATAATTTGTGTTTGTCTTCTATAAAACTCACAAAAAAAAAGGTTTCCCTAAATGAGAGGAGAAACTCTGTGAGGAGAGAGAATTTTTATGGCTCTTCAACAGCATTTCAAAACCTTATTTTAGCCTAACTGTTCATTTCCCTAGGTGCCTTCTAGAGTTAATGAAGACAAAGGATGCAAGTCTATTTGTATTGACTTAGAAGGAACAAGGGTAACAGCTTGTCTGTTACCAAGGGCACTGCCTTACTGTGTTCTTAAATAGATTTTGTTACATTAACAAAGAAAGTTTACTGCCATATTCAGCCTTTTTTCTCTCCTTCAGAAGGAAATAAGCAAACAAAAACCAAAAAGCAAGGGAGATGGTCTGGTGACTGAATAGTGCTTCATGTGCTTTAGCTGATGAACCACTTTGGAGTGTGAACTGGGATTGTCTACAAGACAGGAATGGGTTGTATGTGAAGTAAATGTTTTTAACTGGTGAGAAGTCAGGCAACCTTTGGAAAATTTTACATAGTATTTTTAGGAAAGTCACTTTAAGGCCCCTACAAATTTATAGTCTGCTTACGTTTAAAATATATGGAGTATGATTGTGGCTCTAAGTAGCTTTTGATTATTTTCTACCCAAAGCTTCATTGATATAGAAAAGCAGTGATGTCTTTGAAGTAAAATTCAAACCTCTTTGCTTGAGCTGTAGGGTTTTTTCAGCCTCACAGATTTTGCTTCAGCTGTGATTGGTTAAAAGGTTAAAATCTCTGTACAGAACATCTTTGGGTGGTTTAAAGGCTTGGAAAGATTTGGAAGCTCCCACTGCCTTCCACTATGTTTTGCTGACTTCCAGGTATTTGATTTTGGGTGCAGAACTTACTCTACTTTGTTCCCTATATTTCAGGAAAAAAACCCCAAAACTTTTACTTAGATGTTTGTCATCTTAAATTAATTTTGGAATTTAAATTTCATTTATTTTATAATAAAAAGTCAATTTGTTTTTGAAAAGCAAACCTGAGGATGGCTATTTGAGATAAATAATTGTTTGGGTTTTATTTATGCATTTTTAAGCCTGATCTTCAGGTTACATATAATTAATTTGTTGCATTTATATATTGCATTTATAAATTATGGTAATTTATTTCCTACAGCAGTTGTTTGTTTGTTTTTTTTTAATAACATAATTGTTAATCTATTTATATAAGGCAGATACTTAAAAACAGTAAAATTCAATAGTGGATATAATGAATAGGTGTTGAGATTTTTTTTTTATATAGACCAAATTTCAAATTGCTAATGTCTGTGAGGTTCAAAATAACTTTTTCTAGCATGGAAGATGTTTTTATAGACCATGTGCTAGGATAGCATATGCTGGCCAGGAAACTGAAAAAATGTGGTGGGAAAAAGTGATATCTCCTTGGCTTATGTGTTAAGGATCTGAAGGCTGATTGCAGTAAGCTTTTCCTTAGAAATTTATGACAATACTGTATTTCCCTCTCTAATTTTCTTGCAGAATTTCAGTAACTGAGTATCATGTAAAGCATCTCCATTGCTTAAATACAAAGAATTAAATGTATTGCTTAGGTCTGTAGTGTTTTTAACTAGGATAGAAATTTTTTTGGAATAAAAGATCCAATTTATATCTATTAATCTATGTCCAGTTTATATCTATTTCTAAAGTTTTTAAAGAACATTCCGAAAATTTCTTTAGTGAGCAGCTGGTCAAGAACAATTGGATACATAATTTAGTAAAACTTTCATCTTAATCTATATTTACAAGAGTCAGTTAAATACAAAACATTTTAAGCAAATTTCAAGTGCAGATGGGGTGAATTCTTTGTATTTTGTCAGTAAGGTATTGGGGTTTCATGTGAAAAATAGCAGATAATATGTGCAACCCATTATTACTACATTTTAATTATGTACCACAAATGTTTCTTTAGTTGATGGGCTGCTTCCCTTTATAAAGGCAATTTCTTTGTAGGAGCAGTGAAGTAATAATCCCATCAGTGACAGTGTTGAGCTTCCTGTGCATGAGAAGGTGGCTGCTATTGCTGGTTGTCATCATTTGTAATTTAAAGGAAGACAGACAGATTCCCAAATGGAAAAGTGATCAACCAGTGGCTGAGACAAGACTTTCATATTTGTTAGTGTTACTTTCATATTTGTTAGTGCTTTTAAAAGCAGTTGCTTTGGGCAGAATTAAGTGCATATGTATTGTAAAAATAGTATCAAATGTCAACACTTGAAATTAAGCCATGTCAGAATTCATATTCCCAGCAGGGTATTTACTTGTTTGCCTTGTCTCAGTTTGCTAATCTGGAAGTAGGCAATGAAAATTTACCCTTATTGCAAGATGCTTCTTTCATTCCATGTACCAATACAGAATTTTATGCTGGTAGTAATTTAATACACAATGGAACAATTCATTTTCTAGGATGCCTCCTCTGTCTTTTTAAAAGGATTTAAATCTCAGGGAGATAGATTAACACACAGCACTCTTTCTCATTTTGTGAGTTATTAAATTATCTTGGAAATTGTGTGCCTGCATCTGCTAGAATTTAAGTGCTTTAGGGTCACTCAAAGTTAAGTATTGCTTCCCCCACTCATACTTGTGCTCTCTGGTTTTGCAGTTCCACAGCCACACTGCTGTGACCCTGTAAGCCAACATTCCATTGCTGATTTTGTTACACAACTGTACATGTGGTGGTCAGGAGAATTTTTATCCAAGGGACACAAACTAAAATAGAATGTGAAATTTTCCATCCTATTCTGATAAAACTGAAAGTGTCATGTGATCCCAGGTATTAATAAATAAACTAAATCATCAGTTTTCATTGCTGAGAGCCTTGTGATCGTTTTCATGCTGCCTTTGTAAAGTTAATGTATCCAGTGTGAAGTCAATGTATCCAGTGTTTGAAGCTTTTCTCTTCAGGAAAATTGAAGTGCTTGTTCTTCTGGCATTTATTTGTTGTAGTGCACACATAACATTCACACTTCTCATTAAGGCTGTGCTGTGTGGTTTGTAAGAGTATTACATTTATAGGGGATCATGACTTCCCGTGTGACAGTTTCATAATAATGAAATACAGTGCCTTGGCCTGTGAAAGGTGATAACTGCCAGTATCAGCACTGTGTTTGAAACAAGAGAAAATTGCAGGCTGCAGAAGACAGACTGGGGAGCTCAGATATGAAAAAAATAATTCTCAGGGTGAGCTTAGTATTCTCACAGGGAGATACTTTAAGTAACATGACTCAAACTCAAATATGATGCATGGTGATTATTCTTGGATAAAACTGACCTTCTTTAAAGACATCCAGGGCCCATTAAAAGTTATGATTTTTCTCCTCATGTATTTGCTACATAACAGTGATAAAACAGCATAAATGCATAGAAGAAATTTTGTCCTTGGGAAATTTTAGGATTTACTTACAGGGCTTGCACAATCTCTCTCTCTCTCTCTCTCTCCCTGGTAATATAATCCAAATTTCTCTATTCAGTCTGGAACAAGTATCTTCTGAATAAATAATATGTTTCTTCTTTACTTTGTGGTAGATTTATATGTTTTTATACTGATTGAATTTTATTGGTTTCAAAATAAATGGAAATAACGTACTGCCAATGTAAATTCCTTTCTGTAGCTTCTGTATTATAAAATATAGAAGATGCTTGTACTGGTAAAACTTCCATAAGTTACCATAGGATGCTTTAAAGCATTTACTGTGAATGACATGTTTATATCTATAAAAGCTTTGTAAATAATCCCTAGGCAAATGCTTGGATTTTCATAAGAGTTTTATCCTTTTTTAGGTTGAATAAGTGCTGTATTTGAAGTTTGTTTGAAAACATGGGATAAGGAGTAAAATATTCTGTATCAACAATAACAACATCACCACTGCAAAGTACAGAGTGATGTCTACTGGAAAAACTTAACATTTCTATGATGGAATGGAATTTTACACTTTACTGAATGACAGTGCACAACTCTAAACTGTTACCACAGAGAGCTTTCCTGTGGCCTCAATGCCCAGTCACCTGAATGCTAGTCCTGGATTGTGTTTCAGAAATGCTGTATGTTCAGTGGGGAAATTGTTTTGTTATAGACATGGGGACATAAAAAACCTTTGCCCTTTCTGGATCTCTTACTGTGCATGCCATTTTGAAAGGTGTAACTTCCATGTGTTTGTGTCCCTGCTGCAAAGCTGCCCCTGGTACAGAGAGGTACTCAGGATGAGGGAGTCCCTGACACTTGCTTGGCCTAAAGTCATCATTTCTTCTTACAAAGCAGTTTCCTGCTACAATAAATCTTTCTGCTAGCAAAACAGTTACTAGAATGTATTAAGCTTTCCTGTTGGGAGATCCTGTCAATCAAATAATTAGTACTTCAGATAATAATAATATTAAAGGCTGATACTAAATTAGCAACATGAATTAATATTCTTACAACCACTCATTGCTTTGTCTTCTTCATGCTTTGTTTCCGTTCTTTTCCATGCTTTTATGGAGATTTCTGGGTGAATCATTTGTCGATTTGAGCACTTGAATGTCTGGAAAATATTAAGATAATATTGTGTGGGGTTTACTAAATCCTTGGTCTTGGTGTCTCATTGAGATGTAAGGACTAATGAAATTCTTGTCTGAAAAAAAATTTCTGTTTTGCTAGTAACAATTTCATGAAACAAGCTAGCGAGCCACAGTACATATGAAGCATTTGCCAGGGTCTCTTAGGAAGAAAATGATCATTTGTATAACTCACTCTATTGGAGAAAAATATGAGTGCTGTTTGTAGATCATCTTTCAGTCTATGGCAGTGGATCATACAGAATTAGATTTTGACTTCTGTCACTTTTTTGCCACCTGAAATACAGGATATTCCTAACTGAAGGACTTGTAAAATGTACTCATACTATACAATTTTGCTCCGTTTTCAGTAACAGCTGAGAATGTAGTTTTATGAACTACATAGTTTTCAGTTGTTCCTGTGGCTTTTAGAGGGTGAACTGGTAGTGCAGCTGAAAGGGATAACTGTTCTAGATAAAACAGAAAAAAAGACTAAACAAAAGACTAGAAAAAATGGTAGCGTTCTTTTTTCTGAAATACACAGCTTTGAAAACTTCAAACCCTCCACAAATCAGTGTGCTGTAGATTATGCTAAAGGGCTTTGGGCCCCTCTGGATGTCTATGGGTAATGTGCTGATGAAAGCACGTTTTACATTATGAAAAATACAAAGGAAATGCCTCAGCCTGTGCTTAGGAATTGATAAAAATGGTGTGAGTAAAAGCAGAAGGATCTTAATAGAACATCACTCTGCTTCAGGGCACAGCCAGCACAGTGTTTGACCTTTCCTGACAGTGTTTTGTTTTGCTTTTTATTTCCCTCTGTAGTCTGTTCTTAGAACTGTCTGTAATGGAGAATCCAAAAGGTCTTTAGGCAGTCTGCTCACTTTAGGAAGGAGGGGTTTTAATGGCTAACCTAGGCTTTTCTTCAATATAAGCCTATTATTGATTTTCTTATTACCATTGGACAAAGAAAACTATTTCTTCTGTTTTTGTAGCTGTCTTCTGTACCTTTTAAGACTGATACATTTTAGGCAGCTGTAGTTAGGGTAATTTGGTGTATTTCATTCTTCCTTTACAGATGTTTATGTAAAGTTTTGTCTATTTCTTGAATTATTTGAGAACTAGTCACCATTTTAGGCTGTGATGTTTCAGCTCCATGCACCACTTCATTTAAGGGCTTATTTGGCCCAGTTAAACAGCAAAAGTTTCTTCATAAGTGCCATGAGTAATGCAGATGTATCTTGGTGTATTGTTCTGTTTTCCATGCCATCGTATTGGCATTGACTAAGTTCCTTTTCTTCGTTCAGCTGTTTCTGGCTAAAATGCTGTTTTGCAATAACCATTCTCAAATTGCTTCCTTGGTTTTTCAGGTCCTATTTCCAATTGTTCAAAAACCAGGCATCAAATGTGCCTGCACCTCTGGCCAGCTTAGTGCTCTTTGCAAATTCGATGAGCCCAGTCTGCTCATCTGTCTCTAGTGAAGCTCAAATCATATTTTTGTGCTGTGATGATTTGCAAGTGTTTCCTTATTTTTTTCCAAACTCTTGTACATCTCTCTTATGGGGAGTGTTCTTTTGACAGTGTTTTTCTAGCTTTCCTTTGAGAATTTTGTGTATTTTTTTGTCAACAGCATCACTGAAGTTTTGACAGATGCTGCTTCATCTGGGTTCACAAAAGTTATTTACTTGTCATAGGAATAAGATGGATTGATGTGATTTTTTCTTGATAAATCCATGTTGACTGTTACTTACCCCTTTGAGACTTTGTAGATGTTGGCAAATTGGTTTTTTTTTTTCCAGTGTTTTTCTGCAAATGGTCTGGAGTTGACTGGGTTATAATTCCCTGACTCCTCCTTTTTCCCTTCTGTCTAGACAGAATTGACAGAATGCCTCCAAGTTTATTTCCCTTGAATTTTGGTACATCAGAATGTTGCTAGGTAACCTGGTAGTGACAGGGTTGTGTTTGATTGCTTGGGCTGCTCTCTACAGCTGCCTGAGGGAGGCTGTAGCAGGGTGGGTGTCAGGCTCTGCTCCCAAGCTGACAGAGATAGGACAAGAGGAAATGGCCTCAAGTTGTGTCAAGGGAGGATTAAACTGGATATTAGGGAAAATTTCTTCTCTGAGGGAGTTACCACCATTGGAACAGGGTGCCTGGGGAAGTGGCTGAATCACCATCCCTGGAGTTATGTAAAACAAGGTTTAGTGATGGACTTGACAGTGTTGGGGAAATGGTTGGACCTGATGATCCTGAGGGTCTTTCCTAACCTAAATAATTCTGCCAGTTGATGGCTCACTGTTCAAGTGTTAGATGTTTCCATAGTGCATAGTATATTGCATTTCATACAGTTTCATGCTTCCATAGCTATCTAAATGAAGTTCTTGTGGGAAGACTTTTAAAAGAAAACCCTCCTATTAAGATTTTTCTTCTCTGAAGTTCTAAAGTGTTGTCAAAATTGGGTTCTTAATGCAGTTGCTTCATGTTACTTGTTAAATTAACCTTAGATTAAACTTATTACTCATTTTTCTATTTTAGGAAATTGGTATTAAAAGCTTTTTCTTATGTATTTCATTTTCCAGTTTGTCAAATTTGCCAACATTGAAGAAGACACACCTTCATACCACAGGCGCTACGACTTCTTCGTGTCGCGGTTCAGTGCCATGTGTCATTCCCGTGACCCTGATCCAGAAATACAAAATGAGTAAGTGTCATTCTGCAGGAATTACTGAAAACTGGTCACACATTAATGCTCTCTGTAATACAGCTCTTACTAAGGTGTTTATTGGACTATTTCATTCTATATGAAAAAAATGACAGTCTGACTTTTTGAGTAGCACTGAATATTGCATATCTTAGGTAGCTGGAACTCCTAGGATATTTAGGGGTAATTTTACCTTAATAATGCATGTTGGATTGTGTGGATTTTCTCCAGAAAGGCACCACTAATTACTGTAAATGCACAAGTTCATAACTTTCTTGAGATATTAATGAGGCTACTTATACGAAAAGCAAAAGTATATATTTAGTGTGTTCTTTGAGAAGAATTACTCATTAAAACTGAGATTTCTTAAATGTCTGAAGTATGCTCATGTGTGTCAAACTCAAGAGCCTCCATGAGTGGGAATTCTATTTTTCCCATTGTTACGTAAGTGCCACAGTTTGTTTTCCTGCAGCTCCCTCCTGCAGGATGTGTCCTTCCCTGCAGCAGTTTTTCTCCTAGTTTGTACATCCCTCTTGTCTCCTGCTTTGTGTGTAATCCTATTGAAACTATCTCAAAAGATCTAGAATGAAATTGGGTTCATCTTGAATGCACAAAACTTAGTTCAGAAATAGTTAAGGTACAAGCAGTTAGAGATTTAGATATTTACAAATTGAAATCGAAACAAAAATAATTACAGACCTTGGTTACCTCTGTAGTTCATCTTAGAAATTTTTTAATTCAGGGAATTTGACTGAGCAAGGGTTAAGTGTTGTCCATACCTGAATCAAGATTTAAAAAATGAGGGGTGGATTTTAAGAGAAATAATTCAGAATTTTAGTGAGGCTTGTGCTTATTTCATTTGATAGCTGTACTAGCTTCTACTTGTGTTCAGGAAGTAAATTCTCTTCCTACCATTTATTACAATGAATAATTGGCTATTATCATTTCAAAAAATAGCATTTTGCTATCCATGTCATTGCACAAATTCTCCTGCAAGCTATTTTTGTTTAATAAAATGATGACAACAGCTAGCAGCTAGACCAAGTCTTTTTTTGAACTTATGTTATTTTTTTTCTTTTTTATTATTTCATTGTTGTTGATTACTTCTCAGTTGATTTCATTCAAATGGTTTTAGAATGAAAGTGGTTGTTCCTTTTCTCCATTAGGCTTAAGTAGACAGAATTATCCTTTGCTTTCCATCTTGTGAATCTTTCAGAAATCTTTAAAGATCTTTTCTGACTAATCCATGGCCTTAATTACAACTTCTAATAGCACAATCACATGGCTGTGCTAGATATTACTTCAGCTGTGTTGTGGTAGCTTCCTATTTTTCTTCAGCTCTGGAATGGGCTGAGATTGTGCCAAGTTTCAGCTGATGGTTGGTAGATTGGGTAGAGTTGGTGGGTTTTACCTGGGGGACTTTTGTCAGAGGCGGTGCAAAAAGTTTGAGTCTTCATTGAGTGCTGTCAGGTTTATCCTTACAGGCCATCTTCTGTTCAGTTGTTTGTTTTTTTAGCTCCTTACTGGCTTCAAAGGTGTTCAAAGAAAGCATGGCAATCTTAATGGTTGGCCAGTTTTCCCAGTTGCTACTTGTGAGAACCTGCTGGAGTTCCACAGTACTTCATGCCCTGCTGGGAGGTGCTGTGCTGCTCAGCTTCAGTAATTCCTCTTTTCCTTGCTCAGGATCCGAATTGCTGGAATCAGGGGCATCCAGGGAGTGGTTAGAAAAGCAGTTAATGATGAGCTTCGAGCAACCATATGGGAACCCCAGCACATGGACAAGATAGTGCCATCCCTGCTGTTCAACATGCAGAAAATAGAAGATATTGACAGGTAAGTGTATTTTTGTCACTGGTGTGGTTTCTTTAAGCAGTCTCTAGGCTAAGTTTTTATGGTGGATATCCTTTTTCTTTTCAGTGGAAGCAACAACTCACCTTTACTAGCTAAGGCTCCTTGAAATTGATAGTGTAGGTTTGCATAATGGTTCTTAATGTTTCTTGTCTTAAAATCTTTTCAACCATGTTTATTCACTTGTTCAAGATTCTGTTGGTCTAAAAGTTATTGTAGAAATTATATAGCCATATTTTGACTTGATAACAGTCATAAACTCTGTGTTTTAGTGGATCAGATGCAGAGATGAGTAAGCAAAGGCTTTTAGGTGACTCAAATGATTTTGCTACTTAGATTTGTTAGAAATTGAGATTTTAATTCCTTTAGCCATAACTAAGAACTTGTCCTGGCTGAAACAGTACTTTGAGTAAGGAATTAAAGTTTTATTTATATGTGAATCACCTTCTCTTTGTTGCTTTCGGTGACTCCTACGCATATTGCCACATTTGCAAAAATATATTCAAAAAGATCCTGTGACATTTAAGGTTGAGGAGATGCCACTCACCTTACAATTGAAAAGTCCCTTTTTTTTGGTCCCTGTTTAAACACTATGTAGGTGTAAAAACTGTTTATTGGTAACACTGGGAAATTTCTATAAAATGAACTTCAGCAGTGCAAGCAAATGAAATACTAATTCCATGTCCAATTCTGGCTGCTTCAAAACTTGCCTGCTAAGAGGCTCAGCAGCCTTCCTATAACAACAAGCTTGTCTTGCTTTCACTCACAGAGCTTTCTAGATCTGTCAGTTTCTCTTTATTTAGTTTGAGTTTTGGCATTTATTTTTCAATTCCTCAGCTTTATTTTTGTTGTGTTATTTCTTACTGCCAGTGCCTGTCTCATCTCTAAAACAAATTTTCAGACCAAATAGCTAAAATCAATAGTTGTCTGTCTGTCCATGCCTTATCTATTTACTGTATATAACTGAGAGCCCACACAATATTTATAGAAATATCCACTTGAATTTCACATCTGAAGAGTGAACTGAGTAAGAGACAAAGGTTTCTGAAGCTGCTGTTTGAGCAAGGAGAGCCTGGTTTGCCTTTGCTTATTCTTACAGAGCTTCTAACTGCAGGTGGGCCCTTTCCTTTGGTCCTCTTTACAGTGCCCTCAGGCATACACTTTCCTTTTTATAGCAGAAGTAAATTAACTACTGCTGGAAAAACTGACTGAAGTAGGATTTGGATTAACCACTTAGAGTGGATCAGTTTATATGTACTGCAGGAATGATTTTTCTCATCTGTGGAATAAGGCAATAGTAGTGGTAGAAAAACAAATCTATCAAAAAGCAACTTAAATTTCTGAACTCTTGTACTTGAAACTTTTCCTATTGAACATAGAAAAAAAGACTAATGATCTTCCTAGTGGTAAGTAGGGGTCTTTTATGATGTGCATATGACAGAAAAGCTGGAAACAGTGTTTGTAAATTGCTACCTGCTGGTCTTAAATGATATTGCAGACAATTTCTCATTTTATTTTTTGTGTGACTTCATATTTGTGGAGCACAGAGACATCTTGAAGAGTAGGAGTAAGAAGCATATTGTTCTGGCAGATGGAGTCAAAGCATTATTTGAGAAAGAGCAGAAATTCCAGAAAATACCCCCAACTTAAATCCATAGAAGAAAAACCATTTTTTATTAAAGCTGATGTACATGTAGGTACTTAACTTGGAAGTCTATGTAATTTTAGCTTGTGGAACTCAGCTTAATTCAAGATTGTTTTGAGCACATATGAGATGAGACACTTCTTGGAGTTAAGAATTTACTGTCTAAATAACATTTTAAAAATATAATTGTATTTGTGAATGTCATTATTTGTTCATATATCTGAATGCACATTTTAGTTACATGCCTATCAGACATTGTGTTATGTGTATATCTATTTATGTGCATCTCCAGGATAGGGAGGGGATGTATGAAATTAGTAATTCCTTTATTTTATTACACGTTCTTTATAGCTGTGGAGCTAAACCTGCCAGCCTTATTTCAGGCAGAGGGACACTACCACTTAATGTAAACTTGACTTCAAATCCTTCTGATTTGTAATGTTCATACAAATTCTGTTTTAGATGAAAGTTAAAATTTATATCTTTCTCAGAGTGTGTGAATCACAGTGAAACATTCCTGTACCCACTCTGCTCAGAAGTAGTTGTTCAGTCTTACTGACATGTCCTGTCATATCTTTGGCCAACCCCGTTTTTTTGGCATTTAAGAAGTCTCATGCTTAAGTTGCTGAGTTACTGTGAGCTAGTTTTAGTCTGTGATTAGGTGTTTGCTATGGAAACTGCTGTAGTTCAACACATCCTCCTTCCAGTTCCTTGTTGCCACTGCTGATAGAGATTACCCACAAAAAAGCCAGTAGAGCAGCTACAGGGAGTTGTCCTTGCCCACTTCATTGTAAAACACATTTTCAGCCCTCTTGTGGTATTACAAAAGGTTTAGGTGCAGAGGAATACTACTGTTTTTTTATTAACTGTTGCAGTTGGATTTTTCAGAGTTTTTCTCATATTTCTGTAAAAACAAAGTCAGTGAAACAAAATGAGCATGAGATACTCATTTGAATCTAGAAATTTAAGAGGCTGTACAAAGCTTTCCTATAAAACTAACTAGAGTATTCAATATTCATTGTCTATTATCTGCAATTCTAAGGAATGCTTACTGAGAAATACCTTGAGGAAGGTGCTGTTAAAGTTCAAATAAAATGCTACTCCCACAGATGACACAGGATAATTTTAAACATTTTGATGCAGTCAAAGAATAACATTTTATACAAGGAAGATTCATCTAAAAAAAGGACTCCCAAGCAGTGCTGAGAAGTCACCTTTTGTAGGTTTGCATATACAAGCACTTAAAATGTAACTTATTTTACTTCATTTTAACTGGAATTCTTTCAGACCGGCTAAGCTATGAGTGCTATGCAGCCTGCTTTCGTCTTTCCTCCCCACACACCCACCTTTGCAGTGCTGTTGTATTTTAGGGAATCTGTGTCAAAACAGCAATGGAAATGACAGTCCTATACTGTCTCTTGTACCTTCTCTCCCATCTCCCTGGATCAGAGTCTAGGCAGTACAGGGGAAGGAAAAAAAGGGAGGATGGGTGGCACAGCAGTTGATAGAGCTGGAGTTTTGTGGTACTCATGGGGTGGATTATGTACAAATTCTCATATCTTTTAAAATTCTAATCATGCTGCTCTTGTAAAATTATTCCTCCTTATCTAACAGAGTTCCTGAGGCTCTTCTGTTATTAAAATCTGACAAGCTAGCATTGTTGTGGTAACTCCTGAAACACTGATGTTTCCAGAGGCAACAGGGTTTTCATATGGCCAAATTTAGATTTCAGTAGTACTGAAACACTATTGAAACACAGAAAATCTTTGCCATCAAAAGCTATATTACAACTGTGATGTTAACATGTCCATTTGACTACTGATATTTCAATTTGCAATTTTCTATAATGCTCTAAAGCTTTTATGATGCTTAAGTAAACTGAATGCTGTTGGTTGACACTTTCAAATGTATTTAACACACAAGCTTGCACTGCAGAACTGAAATTATGTTTAAGGGTTTAATGTACTGGTTTCTGCAGTCTAAAATTAAAAATGCATAATGTTAATGTAAATGAATGAATCCTCACTTAAGTTCCTATAATGTTTTGTGAGAGGAAAAAAAAAGTTGCCACTTGTAGGTCCAGTGACTCTTGGTAAGTAATGGAGGTAGCTCAGGGAGAGCTGTTTGCTTCCTTTCTGAAACCTGTGTTCACCCTGTGACCTGTCCAGAGTAATGATGGAAGACACTTAGAGGGTGGCCAACTTCTACACTGTCTATTTAGAGGTAACTGTGTGGGTGATAATGTTCTAATCAGTTCACTCAGACATTTTTTTTCAACTCACAAGCCATCTGTTTGTGCAGAAGTATTGGAGTTTCATTTAATGCTCACCCACACAGTGTGGACTCAGTAGTGGGCAGGTGAGTGAGATCATTAATCTGAGCAATATTACTAAGATTCTGTCTAAATTTTTTTTGTGGTTTCACAGCCTTTGTTCATTGTTAGCAATACATAGTGTTTTGTCAAAATGTGATAGGTAACAAGTTAACTGAATATTTGCAGCTTTTGTGTTTGCCATATAAATAGTTACTGATGCAGTGGTAAGTACTGAGTGAACAAATGATGATCTATGGTCCTGCTATAAAAGAATAAAATATGTTATTCAGAATTCCGGTTTGATGCATATTTGAAATGCAGTTCTTGCCTAGTTGAAGATTGTGACTCATGAATGTTTTAATACCAAGGGTGGATGCAGTAAAGAAAAGGTTTCCTGAATATTAGTCAATAATATAATCAAAGCACTTTGTCTTATTTCAGCAGAATAGGCCCCCCATCCTCTCCTACAGTAGGAGTGAAAGAAGAAAATCCTTCTGTGCTGGCTGAGAATTGTTTCAGGGAACTACTGGGACGAGCAACCTATGGAAATATGAACAATGCTGTCAGACCAGTTTTTGCGTAAGTTGAAAATTTGTGGAAGATCTGAAGAGGTTTTCTTTATTTCATCCTCAATTCTCTTGCATTAAATTTTTTTCTACTTTTCAGTTCAAAGGTTTCCATTCACATTTCTTAAAAAATTGCCCCTCTTTTAACCTCTCCTCTTCTCTCTCCTCCATCTATAAACTTGAAAGAAGTTATGGAGGAATGCATGTCCTGCTTTATTGATTTTTACATGCAAAATACAATAACTTACATGAGTTGTTGCTTCAGCAGGCTTTTTTTTTTAAATGTGAAACTATCCAGGCTATTCATGTCCTATAGATGAGTGTCACAATCAGTGGAGAGACAAACCAAGTAAAGTACAAGTAGCACAAAGGAATACTGTGTCCCATAAAGTTACAATTTATGTGTTCCTGCCATTTTCTTCCAGGACCTGTTTTGATATTCTTTGATGAATATCTTTAACAGCTCATTTAGGGATGAGTGGCAGATATGCACACAGTATGCACATTATGCACAAAAACACACAGTACAAATTATACCTCTTGTATTAACGCTCAGTGATACCACTTTCAAACCCTGGCTTTTCCTGGTGATGAGGACACCTGCTTGCTTCTTCTTGTAGATTTTTCAAGGTACATCCCAGATACAGGAATACATTCTCTTAGATGGCCTAGTTCTTCCCACAGAAATTAAGTACTTTATTTATACACTGAAAGACCTTCAAGCTATCAAAAGCCATTTTCAAATTACTAGTGTTAACAAAAAAAAGATAGGGTTGGTGTTGAAGGCAGAAAACTTTTGTTAACCCCTTGTTTGTCCTGAAAAACATCAACTACAAAGAACTGTACCACTCCCTTACTTTCTGTATGTATCTCTTATACCAACCTGAGAGGAGTTTCTGTTGCAAAGTTGAGTGTTTTATTAAAAAAACACTCATTCTTTCCTAGATTTAAAATGTGCATTCCTCCCAAATACCTGTGATCACAGTGAACACCTCGTTACTACACAGTTGGGATGGATTACTTGGTACTATACTGTAGCTGCTTTCTGACCACTTCTCAATTCTTTTAGTAGGTTTATCTCAAAACTTTATCATCATTTGCAGTGGTTTGAGTCTTTTGAATCATTTTGGGAGCAGGGAAGTTTCCTATGAATAATTCCTGATTCCACAGACTAGAGGTAGTGCTTGTTTTGGGATTTGAGAAGGTGTCATAGCTGCTTTTTCTGTGGCTGATCTAAAGCCTATGTCTCTAAAGTTTATTTCCAGCCTATTTTCAGTTCTCACATGCTATGACTGTAAGGGGCCAGTTGGTTCTGTGTGCACAGCAGTGTTCCACATGCTGCATTCATGCACTGAAATGAGTGGATAATGACCAGTTACTCAGAATGTTATCTCCTCTATGAATAGAGAGTTTTGTAGTCACCATTTCTGTATTCCACTTTGAGGACAAATTGCCAAATGTGTCTTTTTACAAATGACTGCTGTACAAATGACTGCTGTAAAAGGTTTAGTATTTTTGAAGAACAAGAGATGCAGAACATGCAATTTCAAGCTGTTTTTCCTAAACAAAAAGGGAGTGCTCTATCTAATGAGCTTCACTTTGTGAATGACAGAACAGTTAGAGTGAAAGTTTGAGATAGAGAGTCTATTGCACTTTATTGTGAAAAACCTGACCTAGTTTCTAACTAGGAAACAGTTTCTTATAACAATGTTCAGTGTTTCTGTCTGTTTTCTTCTTTCACAGGTTATAAGGAAACTCTGGAAATATAGATAGGGCCTCTTATTACAGTGCTAACATGAAGGTGCGGGTTCAGTTCCCCACCTGAAGGCTTGCTTCATGTGACACTAATATCAGGGAACATGGTGCCACTTCTTGGCAAAACTGAGAAAACAGTGCTGATTGCATCATGAGGCAGGGTTTATTCAGTGATTGAGGGGCTTAACTATAATGAAGATAGTAGAAATCTGAAGTCAGTCTCCTGGTATAGATTTGGATTGACATTAATTCTCCTTGCCTTAGGCAGAAAATCTCTATGGTTATGTCTGCATGCAGTAGCTAGAAACTCTCAAATAATAATTTGCAATAAAATCTTATAGATCAATCTCACTAATTGCTTAATGAAAGTCAAAAAATGTTACATTAATATTATCTGACAAAAAGTTCTGTTGTGTCAATAGTCAGAAGCTATTGAGACATACTTAGCATGGATTTGCAATGGTGAATAGATTAGACAGATTCAGAAAGATCCAGAAATCTGGTGAAACTTTCCAAGTGCAACAACTGTATTTCCATTCTTGTCAGTTATCACATCACGTGTGCAGGGGTTTGGAATATTAACAGACTGGTGTGCAATATTCTTTCAGCAAACATGATGCATGAGCAGAATATTTTATACATTCCCATATATGCATGACTCAGTTATGCTTTCTGATCCTCGGTACCAATTTATCATTGTTACTTTAAGGAATACTTGCATGTGTGGCACTGAGAAAGAATTCAGGGATCATTAGTGGCTCTCTCTCCAGAAACTTGCATTATTGGTTCTGCTGTTCCTTTGAAATTGAGAGACCTACTTAGGCACTTTTGTTACATATGTGCAGCAAATCTCAATGGAAGGCATAGTTTGGTATTTGTTAATCCAGCAATAGAATGTTTTACAATCTTCAGTAGATATTCTTTATTGAAAGAAATGTAATTTGAAAAAAAAAAAAGGAGTTAAGGTGTGACTTGATTTTAACTGAAGTAAATGCACCATACTAAAAATACCCTTTACTGTCATTTGCAAAAACAGAACTACATTGAATGCACTTGTTATGGTCAGTAAAATACATCACCTACAGGAATCTAATCCTGGTGTCCTTAGGAGGAAAATTCCAGTATACAAAGTATGCTGCCCACTGAGCTGTTACACAAAGCTTTAGCCAAGTCTGTCATCTTCTCCCTGCTGTCTTCCCAGCAGTTCATCTACCTGAAGCAGTTAATACTTGGCCTTTCTGGCAATATAAAACTGTATGTCTTGTTTAGAGAGAATTTTTTTTTTGTTTGTTAATGTGATGTGGGATGCAGTTGACCATAATCTGCCTGAATGGCTTTTTGGGGCAGATGAATAAGAACTGTCAAGGATAACAGAGAACACAGTGCCCTGAAAGATTAAAGGATCAGTTCCAATCAGAAGAAGATAGTGGAGAGTAAGACTTTCCATTTGATGACACCTGTGCACAAGAAAAGCAGCTATTCCCAATAGGTACTCAAGTTGGATATTTAGTAATGTAAATCTGCTGTTATCTTGGCAGGCAAATACTTTTAAAATTCCTGCCATTCTTTCTTGTAGGGATTTCTGTTAAAGGTATGTGATGTGTCAAGATGGCAGAACTTTTTTTAATCTCTGCAATAGAGTGCAAGATAATTTAGGGCATAGGAGATGCTTTGTGTCACCTGGTTTAATCAGCCTTGAAGGAGACTTGTGTACAGGTGACTGGGGTGGGAGCAGCTGCCTAGTGAGGGAATTGAGATCTCCAGATTGTAGGCAGAGTAAGTTTCAGCATCCAGCCAGTCCTCCTGTGTTCACAGTGCTGGCTTCTTTCACCTCCAGAGCTTCTCAGTTTGTTGCTTCAAACAACTTTATATTTCCTAAGTTCTTTGAGAAAAGGGAGAGCAGTAATGATTCTGTAGCTGAGATACCTGTTGAGGAACAGAACTTAAATTCATCTTCTGTTACAAAGTTTTTTTGTTGATTTGGCATATTTGCTCTTCATTGGTGAATTTGTTTGTGGATTTGTTTTGATTTTTTTTAAAACCTAAATCATACCAATTAAAATGCATCCAAAGTTACCTTTTCTTCAATCTTCTAGAATGAAAAAACACAGTTATTTTTTAATGCTTTTTCAGGGACACAGATCTTTTTTTTGCAAAAATCTGTGTCCTATTCATAGCTTTCAACATTTCTGCTTAAGCAGAATTGTTTGTATTTGCTTGAAACACTGATAAATTTTTTCTCATTTGTGGTTCCTATTCCATTTATAGAGAATCTGATGCATTTTTATTGGGATTTTGTTTTAATCTTTCTTGCAGTAAATGTTGAAATGCTTCAGAGCCTAAAGACATATACACACGAAGAGCAGCTCTTTTTTGTTTTCCATATATTTTATCTAGGAAACCACCATGAAAACAAAAATATTTCTCAGAGTTTCTATTCTGGATGGAGCATTCAGCCCTAATTATTTTGCAGCTTGTAATTCAAAACAACTTATTTATCCTCTGTAAAGTATAAATTTTCAAGATGTTACAACCTTCAGCAAATTCCTTTAATGTAACAAAGCATCTGTGTGGAAAGACTGTATTCTTAACTATATATGTTTGGTGTATCTAGGTTCCTTAAATTTCCAGAACAGGAATTTCTTTTCAACCAGATGTTTTGTGATCATATCCTAAACCTAGAAAACAAGTACTTCTCTGAAGTTCTAAATTTCTCATAAGTTATTGAATAGAAGTTTTATGTTAGTAAATAATCCCTTTGAGGTGAATTTTGAGAAAATTCATAAGATACCATTTATTATATCTGTATAATATAATTTCTTCATTATGTCTTAATTTTTGCTTACAGGCATTTAGACCATCATAAGCTGTGGGATCCTAATGAATTTGCTGTTTCCTGCTTTAAAATCATCATGTATTCTATACAGGTAGGATTTTCTCCTGGTTTTTTTCCTTGCATACATGTTTCAAGCACTTGAGAGAAAATTCAATGCTCATCTCACTATGCTAATGGTAGACAGTAGATGAAGTGAAAGAATCCAAAATATTCAAGGGAAGGTAGTGGGGTGGTCCTTCTCCAGAACAACGAGCAAGGTGTTGGTGTGACATGGTGCTTGACAAAGAAATCTCTCAGGTTGGTTATTTTTCTATGCCAATGGAGCTGTGCTGATTTTCCAACCCAAGAGACCAACTTCACATACAACTGTTGTGCTGAGGATTTTTAATCCTCACAATACAGTGTACAACCTGTATTGTGGCCTTAAGCTGAAGGAGGGAAGGTAGAGATTGGATATTAGGAAGAAATTCTTTACCTGAAGAGTAGTGAGGTACTGCAACAGGTTGTACAGGGAAGCTGTGGCTGCCCCATCCCTGGAGGTGTTCAAGGCCAGGTTGGATGGGGCTTTGAGTAACCTGTGCTAGTGGAAGCTGTCCCTGCCCATGGCAGGGGACTTGGAACAAGATGGTCTTGAAGATCTCTCACAACTCAAGCCATTCTATGGCTCTCATTGTCTGCTGTAAACCTCAAGGCATTATTCTTTGATTGCATCAAACTCAGAGGCCCAGAAGATAAAAGTGTAAAATTCCAGGTTTGTGGGAGAAAGCTGAGTTTTCTCACCATTTACAGCAATGGTACTGAATTCTTTGAACTGCAGTTAGCTGAGTGAGGGACAATTTCATGCTTCCTCTGTGCTTGCAGATGTTCCTGGATATTTTAAAGAACTCTATTGTACACTGGGCTGGCTGAATTAACCTGTATTTCTTCATCTGTCATGGCATTTTTTGAATCCATATTTAGTCATGAATTGATTGTACTTCTGATAAGTTTCTGAATGAAAATGTTGCTGAATGGGAACATGGTCATGATCATAGCTGAGTGATGAATGAGCTTATTCTTGTTAAAGTCACAGATGAAGATTTTCTGTCTGTATTCTTAATAGGCACAATATTCCCATCATGTAATACAAGAAATCCTTGGACACCTTGATGTCCGCAAAAGGGATTCAGCACGAGTTCGTGCTGGCATTATTCAGGTTCTTCTGGAAGCAGTTGCAATAGCAGCTAAAGGATCAATAGGTAAGTTGTATTAAATTGAAGGCATCAGGTTAAAGGATAAATTTGCAGGGTAGTGCTCATTTTCACTTTGATTTCAGATTGATTGGAAACATTTTGAAAAGGTTTTGTGTATAATTTTTTTTTCCTTTTTGCTGATAAATGCTTGAAATCTTACTTAGTTTGCAATTGCTCCAAGCATATACACTTGATTATTTGACTCTTATATAATCCTTTGCATTGAAAAAATGATTGAAAAAATTGTGAAAGGCAGATATTCCTGTGTGGAAAGAAATCATAAAGTCTGAGAGAACTGTGTGTCACTACAAAATGTCAAGAGCACTGTTGCTTTGTGATACAGCTGTGACCTGAATATTGCAGGAGTAGAATGCTCTTTGAGAAATGTTTCCTTATTGAGTGTGAAGAAGCTGAAATAAGGTGAAATAATGTCATTTAAAATTAAGATAGTTCCTTGAAATAAGAGTCGTTATGAAGAGATGCATGCTCTAGTGCTCTTTTCATGAAGTTCTTTGGTGTCCTGCTGAAATATGATTGTTTTGCTTCATTAGCTTGAGCCTGAATGTGTCCTTCCTCTTGCGTACACAGACTTGTGAAATCTTTTACCATATGATGAAAAGAGCTCATGATTTGCTCCAATGTATAGAACTGGATTTTAGTAGCAGGTTTTGAAATAACTGAAGTTCAGGGGCAAGTACCTGCAGTTAAATCCATTCCTGGTGCTTAATTTCAGCAACCATTTCTGTTTTGAACCTGAAACTTGCATGGTGAGTTGTCTCTGGGCTGTTTGCACTCCCCTTTCCCACAGGACAGGGACAATGTAGAAAGAAAGTGAGAAGTTTCATGGATCAAGATAAGGACAGTTAGATGGGTGGAACAAAAGCTGCATGCACAAGGAAAATCAGGTTACCTCCATCCTGACCAGACCGGTAGTGAATCATAATGGATTATACAAACATACCTGACTGTATTTCCTGATTCCAAGTTAATTTCTAAAGTATCAAAGTGTAGGCACACCTCAAAAGTTTTTCTCTAGTCGTGATGCCTCAAACACTATAATTCACTTTGTTCTCTTCATTGTCCTACTCTCATTACTTGTGAAAATGGATTGAAAAGCCCAGTTTTAATTTTTTTCAGACATCTCCCCCTTGACAAGTGCAATCAGTGTTATTTGTTGTTTCCAGGCCCAACAGTTCTGGAGGTTTTTAACACCTTGTTGAAGCACCTGCGCATCAGCGTTGACTTTGAGCTGAGTGACCGGCGCAATTCCTGTGAAAGCTCCACTTTAAGCATCAGCTCCAAGGAGAGTGATGAGAGGATTGTCCAGAATGCAATTATTCAAACAATTGGTGAGTTATACAATTGGCACAGGCTCACTTAAAATTTCTCCACTTTTCCCTCTCCCCAAATGAGATGATATTGGACCAACTTGAATCATGAAGCAATACTACTGTCAAATGTGGTTTGTCTGATTGTATTTGCCTCTCATTCTCAGGCTTGCTTTATGTGTTTGATTTCTGAAAGGTTTTTCTTTTAAATGCTAACTGAACACGTAGCCAAGAAGGTTATGAAAATTAAAAATGCTGGTGGACTTAATTTTAATTATATTATTATGTGGCCCTTGAAATGTAGAAATCTCTATGTTTGGTGCAGAACTACTATTAGTCCTTCTATGAAAATCACTGCAAAAAGTTGTATACAGTAATAATACATTTTTTCATAGGTAGTGCTTTAAAATTGATAGAAATCAATGTTAAACATAGTAGCAACAATGACACCTAATGGCCAGTTGTGCTACCACGACTTAACTGAAGTACTTTAATGCACAGCAGTTGAAATTATTTTCTCAACAATGTCTCTCTGTTTCTCAGATTTTCCCTTATGACAGTGATGTTGTATATTGGGGTGCATTTATGATATGCATTCCTATTCTTAAAGAACAAGGGAGATTAGCTGAAATGTTTGTACGTTTGCTTGCCTTGAAGAGCACTAACAAGTATATAGTACATTGTTTCTCACCATTTCAGTAAAGTTCCCAAGTGAAAACATTCAACTCCCATCAAAAAAAAAATCCCACAAACCAACCTTTTGTGAAGCTTCTTTCTACTGAAACTAATGGTATACTATTTCATAGTAATAAAATAGACTATCTGGAGTTGGAGGGGACACATAAGGATCAGTGAGTCCAGCTCTCTGCTCATCCCAGGACTGCTTCAGCTAAACCATGTGCCTGGGAGCATTGTCCAGGTACTGCTTGACCTCTGTCAGGCTTGGTGCTGTGACCACTTCTCTGGGGGGCCTGATCTAGGGGCCAGCCTTCCTTTTAGTGAAGAACCTTTTCCTAATGTCCCATCTGAACTTCCCCTGATGCAATTCCATCCCATTTCCTCATGTCCTGTCACAAGTCACCAGAGAGAAATCAGCATCTCCTGTTGATTTAGTCCTAAAATACTTATATGTCTCTGGGACTTCTGTCCCCTCACTTGTAATATTTATTCTCCAATAAACAGACAATACTATGTGCCATGAGAAACACTTCCAATTCTTCACTAGGTACAAGTTAATAGACTCCAGATATTTAATTTTTAAATTGTATATTTAGAGGAGGATAAAATTAGGTTTTGGTATTCAAAGATGAAAGTATCATGAAAGAGACTCACTAAAATCATTCAGTAAAAATAAATATGAGATTATGCCCTAAAACAAGTCATATGTTTATTCCTCATCTATTTTGACCTGTTAATATATTCCTTGTATTTTAAAGGCTTTTCTTATAAAGAGAAGGGCCCTATATCTCTTTTTCTTCTGTGAATTTTTTCTGTTTTTATTTAGGATTTTTTGGAAGCAATCTTCCAGATTACCAGAGATCAGAGATTATGATGTTCATTATGAGCAAAGTACCTGTTTTGGGAGCAACTTCACAATCGCTGGATCCCAGTAACCTTGGGTTTGTATATCCTGTATTTTTAAATTTCAGATTACAAATCTAGATTTTAGAATCCTGATCAGTTAAGAAGTGAAAAACATTAAGAAAAGCGAAATGCAAATTCTCACTCCTTTGGGGCTATATGAAATACTATACAGAACCAAGACAACCTCAGTGTCAGCAATATGAAATCAACCTACAGACATTTTATTGATAAAAGTTACCTGATTGCAAGGTCATTTATTTTTCACTAAAACACTCTTTCTCTCTACATTTGTACAATTTTTTCTGAAATTATGTCCTTCATGTTTGTTAATTCCATAACTTTTTATATGTGGGTTTTGAGAATGAGAGGAATTCAATTATAAATTGCATAGTTTACAAACTCTTTTTAAGGTTTTGTTTTTCTTAAAATTCTGTACAAGTTGACATCAGATTAAGAAATAGCTGCAGAAATTCCAGTGAATTTTTGATTTTTCCTATGTATTCAGAAATAGGAAAAAGCTGTAAGTGGGCAGACTTAATAAACCCACAATTTAAAAGTCACTCTACACTGAATACTTTTCCCTATAAGAGGAATAATTTTGTTTAAAAGACTGTATTTCCTCAGTATGGGAAAGTCACTGAAAAGGCTGCAGCTGTTTTTCCAGATGTACACAGACACTTTGCACCACAAAGGTGATCCCCTCATAGATTAAGTAGGAAGTCATCATCATTCTCCAGTTTTTTATAGCTTTTCATACAGTATCCCTGCAGCATGGGATGCTATTCCATGGAAGATACAAGTCTGTGCCAGGCAGTTGTCACTCATTGTGGAGGTATTTGAAGCACCAATCCATATGAAATTCTCTACTTGGATTAGCAGTTGAGGGTGGTGGTTTTTTTTTTTTTTTAATAACTATATAATTTTCCATTTGTGAGATTCTGTGTAAACATGTGTCTGAGCAGTGTGTTAGCATGATGTGCATATGTCACTCTGAGATTGCTGATAAAGTCTGGCATTACTTAGAATTTTGGGTTCATCTACCCAAGACATTTGAATGATACAGACAGCCAAGTTTGTAGCCCATTAAGGTAGAAGCTTCCACTGTTATGTAATGGCCAACTTTTGTGAAGAGGGTTGGTCTTTCTTTACACTATTTAATGGGGAAAATGGCTTGTACCTTTTTTACTTTCCTGAAAGAATCTCTGTGAATGGAGCAATTTATTCCAAGTGCACTTTTATCTCCTATGACCTTGCAAGAATAGTGGCTATGTACCTTCAGCTATTTGGCTCCTTTTAGTACCTGCAGGAGGGAAATGAAAACAGATGAAGAACAGGTCAAGTAGTGTTTCATGTACCTTCCTGTGATATGAAAGCTGAGGAATATTTTAGTTTTTCTTACTGATTTTGCCAATAACTTTTTTCCAGTCTCAAAGTTTTGGTGTCTGGCTTAAAGAAGAAATGTCTGTGTTTCTTAAAAGACTCAATTTCATTTTAATCCAGAAGAAATTTTCGGTGTTGATGCTTGTTAAAATAACAGGCTGTCAAGCTTGTAGTGATCAATCATTTTAGAGATTTCTGAATAAAGCATAAAGATTTATGCCTCCTTCACATATACAATTTAATTTTTTCTTCAACTGATTGTGCTCCATTTTTTCAGCCTTCCTATAAATGTGTCTTTCAAAAACATTTAATTATTGCAGCACAGTTGGAGATACTTTCCTTTATCTATGATCATCCAGCATTCCTTCCAAGACTGCTGTATTCACTTGTCAAAAATGAGAATAATGTCTAGAGTAGAATAATATTTCAAAGATATGCAAGAAAACCTAATTTGCAATTTTTTCTTCCAATTGTAGAGATTTGGGAACAAGGAGGATTCAAATCATGTTATTGAGATCTTTACTTATGGTAAGCCTTTTGTGATCAGTATACTATGTTAAAAACACACAGTGTTTCACTTTATGTATATATTTACATATAAAAGTTCCACAACACTGGACTATGAAAATAAATATATATTGATATTGCATAGACCTATAATTCTATTGTGTAATATTGTGAAAGCATTTTTCCAACTTACATTCCAAACAGCACAAGAAATACACCTCCATCTCTTAGAGCACTTCAGTGAATGTCAGTTGTAATTGGATCTGCAGATCCAAAAGAACATCCTAGAGTGGGTTGAGTTCTGCCAGCAGTACTGGCAACATCAAAGTGAAATCACTTTCATCTCGGAGCCTGGAAAAGTGGTAATTAGTAGAATGGCCAATGTTTTTAAAACCATAGGAATGGATACCTCAGACACAATTGTTCTTTCCTTCCTAATGTTTCCCAAATTTCTTGTAACGTTTGATTGAATTTTTTATCACAAATACATTTTTCAGCTGTAAATCTTCAAAGAGTATTTCTGGAAATAGACCCAGATGGTAAAAATCAAAACGAGGCTAATAAAGGAGGCTCTTGCCTGTAGAATCCTGGCCTGTTTTGTTGCAGCAGCTGAGAAGTGTTTAGTGACTCAAACAGGGGAATGATTTCACAAACTAAAGCAGAAGAATGTCCTCTTGGAAAATGAGTTTTTGTCCCTGCTTTGACATGAAACTCGTGGATGGTGTTAGGCAAAATCTGAAACCTTAGACTCTGGTTTGCAGAAGAGCTGGGCATTCAGAGTTGCAATTTAAGGATAGAAAACTTGTTAGGAAGGACCTCAGGTGGTCATTTTGCACATTGTCTTCATTAAACATAGACTCAGGTATGTCTAAACTGTTCCTGACAATATTCATCTCACTTACTATTAAAATTCCATTAAAATAGGTAAGAATTGTTCTAATGATTTTGTGTGCTACGTAGCCTGTAAGTTTGCTTTAAGGGGAGTCAGAGTGTGGAAGGGATTTAACATTTTGGACACTGAATTTTAGTTTGCATCTCTTTTAGAATAAAAAATAAAATCCCATCTTGGCTCAAAGGTGTGAAAGTCATTGTTCTCATGCTTAATAAATTAGTCATTGATAAATATTGTGAAAGAAATCCAGCATTGTACATCATGTATTCTATACTAAAGAAAAATATTTCATAACAATATTAGTCTATTGTCATGCATACACAGGTAGCCAAGTGAATGCTGTACAGGCAGTTGAAATCTGGCACTTCATTAGAAGTGTGCACTTAGATTTGCAGCCTGGCTGCTTGTGATATCAGTCATTTTCCCTGTTCAGAATGATTGATCAGAAGCCTTCTTGTCCCCTGGTGCTCCTGTCAGCCACGTCCCTCGGAAGCCCTGAGCTAAGCTGGGGCACTGTGCTCACTCAGGTTTAACCCAGAGCACCAGGGAGCACCCAGGCACTCACTCACCCTGCCCCAGGGGCTTGGGGAGAGAACCAGGACAGCACCAGTGAGAGAAGTGGGTTGAGATGAAGACAGTTTACTAAGTAAAAAAGGAAACCAAGAAAAACAAAACCAAGAAACGAGAAAAAGAAGTAATAATAAAATAAAATCCAAACTGCTCACCACAGGCCAAATGATAGCCAGCCAGTCCCTGAGCAGTGGCAGCCCTCACAAATGGCTTCCTGTTCTGCTGCTGAACATGGCACATTTCAATATGGAATATTCCTCTGGAGGTGTGTAAGCCCTGCTCAGCAGTAGCCAAATCATCTCTGTTACCAGCACTGCTTTGGTCACAAATCCAGAACACAGTAGCATCTATGCTGCTGACAAGAAAATGACCTATCCCAGCCAACACCAGTAAAACACAGCTCACATGTAAAAACTGTAAAGGTATGGAATATATATAAATTGTTATGTAAGCCTTGGATAAAAATACTATTGCATTTATTATAATTAAATTTGGATAATTTTACTCCTCTCATCCTCAACAGGTTAAATGTACTTTGTAATATATTTTGAGATTGTAATATTCTGGTAACCTCCATTTTAAGGGATAGTAAATTTTAAATATTTCTGGCTACTGTAGATGTTCAGCTAATTAAAACTTGAATTAGTAGTTAGGTAGAAGTTTATTTTTCTTTATGTACCTGCAGAGTTTGCTTAGTTAAAAGTAACTGAATGAGACAAGTCAGAGGTAGTATTAATTTTTAAAATAACACTTTGGCACCAGATTTCTAAGAAAGTGATATTTGCTTACTTCATGTTTTGCAATAAAATAGTATCCATAATCTTTGAGGTGTACATATAGGCCCTGATTTCTCAGTTTTTATTTCACATGAGCTTACTCTACCATATATGAACAGCTCATAACCTGAAATGGAAAAATCTCTATTGTAAATATTGACTGGAATTCCTATCATCTTCAATTTATGCCCTGCAACTTTTCATAGGCCATATAAAAAAACAAATCATAAATCATACCTTTATTTTTTTATTTGGGGTGTGTTTGTCAAGAAAGGATCCTGAAAAATCCTTTTAGCATGAGTGACTTAATTTGAAAATGTATCCTGACATCCTTCCAAATTCATACTGAGGTCAGGAGTTTACAAAATTAATACAATACTTCAATTTGAATCTACCTTGTGGATGCCAAAGCAATCCCACTGAAAAGTGACAGCTGTGATTAATTCTTACAATGCAGTAATGCCACATGAATTTTATTTCAAACAATGCACAGGTGACTTCAGGATACAAAGCCACAACAATAAGTAATGCCCTTCCTGCCCCCTTTCTGGACCCATTGCTGTCTCCTTCACTCATGGAGGACTCGGAGCTGAGGCAGCTGGTGCTGGAAATCCTGCACAACCTCATCGACCGGCACGACAACAGAGCCAAGCTCAGAGGGATCAGGTACTGCTCTGCATTTATGGCCTGCTTAACTTCCAGTGCATCACTTGAATGACAACTGCTGTTGATTTTTAAATGTTTTTGCTAAAATGAATTATTAATGTACTGTTTTGGTAAATGCACGGTGCTCAGTGTCATTTATTCATGGCAAGAGTTTTACAGGTAAGCCTCAGAGCCCAGTACCTTAAAGAACCATTACAAATATCATAGTTCTATCACAAATTCTACCATGTAGAAGACAGAATTTAATATTTATTTTTATTTTATGTAGATAAAAAAATACATGATTATCATGATTATTCTCTTTATATATATGATTATTCTCTTTCTGGTTCTCCATCTTCATCTGAAATTTGAATATTCTTGTTAAGCATGGATATAATTAAAATGCGAATTGCGTCAAGATCTGTTTGAATAGCTCCTGTATTCCACATTCTCTTAATTTCCAACTTTTTTTTTTTTCTGAAACAATACATCTCTTTCATTTGTAGAATAATACCAGATGTTTCTGATCTAAAGATAAAACGAGACAAGATTTCAAGGCAGGACGTGAGCTTCATGAAAAAGGTAATGGAATGAAACATCACTTTTCTATCTGGAAATAAGTAACTGAACCAGTGCTTTAGCTTTTCTTCTACAGCTGTGGTTTTGCAACAAGGCACAAAGATCAGTTTCAAATTATTGTAATCAAGTTACAGTGGTTTCATTGTTGGGGTTCTCTAGATATTTGAAAGATGATTCCATGCAATAAAATTTTAATTTATGTCTTCAGTTAAAACCTTTATATGCATGAACTTAGAACAGCATATGTCAAAACCATGATTCTGAAAAGATCTCCCTGGTGTTAGATTCCTGCACAGCATTTAATTTTTGCTCAGTAGCATTTTTTCACTAGTTTGGCTTGTATTTTGCTGTATTTTTAGACAATTTTGTATTTAGAAATTTTTTTATAGCTCTAGTACAGAGCTATAAAAATATTTATATCTTTTATATCTTTGATATAAATGATATTTTATATCATTTATATCTTATGTTTTAGGTAAAGATGTCAAGGAAAGATAACTTTGCACAAAAGAGCTGTCTTCTTAAAAGATTATTTTCACAGGAATTTTTACCAGGTGACTTCTCAGTATATTTGTCTCTAAAGAAAACCAGGGTATTTTTAGATGATACTTAAGTGGAGTGAAATGGCTTACAATAGATACCTTGGGTTTTTTGTGGGAAAGATGCATAAAGCTGTTACTGTGCTCTGTCGTTCCTGACTGTGGTTTATCTGCATAGGTATGTTAACAAAAACCAGAAAATACTGAAGTAGGCCAAAATACTGCATGTAATGGTATGCAAACTAGAGTTGTACAGCATTCAAGTAACTTTGCAAGATAAATGTTCTTGCTATAAGTTAGCCCAGTTAATATTCTTCCAGTATATGTTCAACTGGAATAATACAAATATAAAATATATTCCAATATTGACAATTATTAGTAATGTGTCTTTTAAAAAGTGAATTAAATCTTAATTCAATAATTTGATATCTATGATTTAAAGCAATTTGGATTAGATGTATTTTGCTAGATTGAAGTTGTAGCTGTCAAACTAAATATTTGAATTGTTAATATTGATCTGAAAAAAGGGCAGAAGAGGAAAAGAGATTCTTCACAGGTCAAGAAAAGAGCATACAAACTTCTAAAAAATATATTAACCCAGGGAAATGAAGTCAGTCAATGATCATCTGTGTGATACCGTTACTCACCTGCTGTAGGTGTGCACGTTAGCAACCTGCTCTTGCCAGTTGCTCTGCATAATCAAAGGACAGGGATGAGTTATCTCCAGAAGTTCATTAATATCTGGAGACTATAAATTTGGGCTTGTTTGATGTTACATGGGGATGCTGAGGCAATTTTGTATCACATCCAGGTGGAATGGAACCAAACATAGGCACAAATCTCTTTGTCTCAAACCAGTTGCTCAGTTTTGAAGGGAAATATTTAACTTCTGGCATTTTCCAGTCTTCTAGAAAGATACATATTGAAAAAATCCACATGATGATTTCTTTTCTTATTTAAGTGCTATTCTTTATCAGTGGGATAAAAAAAGTCATTACTTTCATTTTCCAAATATACTGGGTCTTTAAACAACTAACCTTTATTTTGTAGTAGCTTCTTTACTTTGCTGATAGCTGTGTTTCCCTCTTTTCTAAACACAACGTGGATTTGAGCAACTCTTTGATTTTAGAAGTAATGAAAAGACCAACAATGTCATTATTTCTTAAGTTAATATGTCTTGTTTGAAAAAGAGAGGTTGAAAATCACTTTTCTGCTTACTTCTAGAGCTGAATTAGTATATCTAGAGTTAGTATTTAGATCTTGAAAATTATTTGTGTCAGGTGAATAGAGACTTGTACCCCCCTGCAGATTAGGAGTGCTGGGGTGGTACTGAGCTCTGTGTTCCATACAGCACCTGCTGCTTATCCTGTGTTTCTTGTGTTTGCATTTTTCTTTTGTGCTGAGGTAATAGTTTATTTACTGAGATTTGCTTAGGCACAGTATCATGAGAAGAAAATCACTTTTGAAATAGAGAGTCTTTCATTAAATGACCTGTATTCTTCACTAGAGCTGCAGCCTCCCTACACATGTCAGTGAATGAGCCCTGCTCACCTTCTGAAACAAGAATTTTTTCTTGGTTTGCTGTTTGAGGGGAGCTGCTTAATGAACAAATTTGATGTCTTCACAAGGATAACACTTGGAGCTCATCAGTTCTTGAAAATGAGTTCTTGAAATGTCTCAAATGTTCTTGAAAAATATTTCAAGATTGCTTTTTGGTTTCTCCTTTTCATTAATGGGCATTTTTTTTTCCTAATATTTCAACAGGAAATTAATTCTAACAGCTGATACTGGGCAGTAGTCATGCAATTCTCTGTATCATCTTCTCTATCTGTACATTTGTGCATAAAATAGAACAGTACAGTGTTTATAAAGAAGCTGTTATTAGAAACTTGAGGTCTACTTGATTAAGTAGACTTGTACTTGTTTATCTATGTGTACATCATGTATTTTATCCTTTTTTTTTGTTTGTTTTTTTTAATTCTCAGTTGATCTAACATGAATGTTGGCCCTGTTTGGAGTACATAGATGGACCCGAAGACCTTCAAATACCCTTTCTAACCTAAATTACTCTATTATTAATACTCATTTTCCCTTTTATGTCTTTCATAGCATGGTCAGCAGTTGTACAGACACATCTACCTAGGCTGCAAAGAAGAAGACAATGTCCAGAAGAACTTTGAACTCCTGTTTACATCCCTAGCTCTTACCACAATAGAACTGGCCAATGAAGAAGTGGTGATTGACCTCATTCGATTAGCGATTGCCTTGCAGGTATGGCTCTGTGTTGGGTTCATTGACTGACAATTCAGTGTGTGATTGGAAAAGTGAAGAACTGGGGGGTTTTGTGTATTGATCTTCAAATTGGAAATCCCATAATTTGGTCTGGACTTGATTGGTCACTAAGGAAGTGCACTTTGTATGTACCACTTACTGATGGGGAAACTTCATCTAATTAGTTTTGTAACAAACTTCCACAGCATGAGCTCTTCAGGAAATACAACAGATGTGAAATTTTTTTGAAACATTTAATAGAATCACTGATACTCATTAACAGATTGACAAGGTGTTCTCTCAACCTATGATCTTGTGTTCTGTATAAAATGTATGGACTGTCTGCACTTCTGTATAATTAATTGATTGGTTGGGAATAGTTGCTAAACCACGCTATTAAATCTTACCTTAGAGTAATATTCTGTCAGTGTTTTAGGCTTTATTCCTTAACATTTCCTTAATAGGTTCAAATATTAACCCATGCTTGCATACAGTCCTCAGGAAAACTGGATAACTTATTATCTGTGTTGAAATCAAAAATAAAGTACTGCTAACATGTGCCCTGGGAATTTGATGAAATCAGGCCCTGTATTTGCAGTATATTCTGTCATTAACCTTATTCCTAAATGTACAGCTGTATTATAAAATATCTGAAATGTAGTTTGCATCCTTAATTTTAAAATATGTAATTGAACCAAATCCTTACTTGGTGGAAATGACATTAGGAGTTTTACTAGAGCAAAAATAATGCAATCTGAATAAACACAGAAGTGCCAATATGCATTAAATAATTCCTTCTATTGTGCTGTATCTGTGATTCACACTGGTGATCTTTATTATCAAACTGCTGTTTGTAATTTTCCTGAGAAAATATTATGATCAACAGGTGGTAAGGACAAGAGACTACCAGTCATTAACCTGTACTTCCTGTCTGAGAAACAAAATTTTGAGTAAATTTATTTTCTTTCATAATGGTTGAATCTTTAAGCTCTATAATTTCAGATCAATATATTCCTACTTCACAAGTGAGCTGAAAGACTAGAATTTTAAGATGAGAGATACCAAATGTTAAGTAATATCAGATAAACATCATATGTCAGATAGTGTTACCAATGATAATTTGACTTCCATGTATTCAGGACAGCCTGCTAACTTTGTAAACATGATGCTACCCCTTCTATTTCAGGACATTGCCATCATCAATGAGGATAATCTGCCAATGTTTAATCGCTGTGGTGTCATGGCATTGGTTGCAGCGTATCTAAACTTCCTGAGTCAGATGATTGCAGTGCCTGCCTTCTGTCAGCATGTCAGCAAGGTAAGACATGATTAAATACTGCAGGTCATTTAGAACAATACACAGTCTGCTGTAAAATCAGTAAATAACTTGTGTCAGGTGCTTCCTTGTTGTGTTGATCTCCCCTCTTTGTGTCCACTGACATTGTTCTTGATCTTCAGTCTCTCGTGGCATTACTTGCTGACTCTTAAGATAATAAACAAAATAATCTTCTCTCAAGATTCAGCATTTTATTTTGCTTATGGTGCCATATATAAAGGGCCAAATTCTATCTGGTATAATACTTGATGGCCCCACTGTCTTTGCTAAAATAGTATTGACATGCACAAGATCATGAGAATCATATTTTTAGTCTAAAGGGTGAGAGTCTCTTTCTCTGGTTAAAAGAAATTCCAAATGTCTCATTTGTGTTGTGGTTGATATTAGTGAAGGTTAGGTGTTGAAGAAAACAGCTATGGAACTATTCCATTTGTACTATTTGACATGGGGTTTTTTTTCAGGTCATTGAAACCAGAAGTGTGGAAGCAGCTTATTTTCTACCAGAAACAATTTTCAAAGACAAATCCAAGTAAGTTGATACAAAATGGGAATTAGTGGACAGTGAAGCCCCTATTTTGCTATTAAAAATCATACATCATTGAGAAATATTCCATATGTGAAAAAAATCAGAGGTTTTATCATGTTCTGGACAGGCAGAAGAATCCCAAGGATTAAAAGCATGTACACTTATAGGGAAAAAAAAAAGTGGGCTTCAGACTTTTTTATAGTAGTCAGCGGCATTTGTACACAGTATGCTAACACAGCAAAATAAAAAATAACAGCAAAATAAATTTTTACTGAATCACAGAATGGGTGAAGCTGGAAGGGATCTCAAGGTCATCTGGTCCAAGCCCCATGCTTAACAGGGTCACCTGGAGCAGACTGTGCAGGACCACATCCAGATGCTTTGGAATATCTCCAGGGATGGAGACTCCACAGCCTCTCTGGGTAACCTGTGCCAGTGCTTGGTCACCCTCACCTTCACACAAAAAAGTGTTTCCTGATGTTTAGACAGAACCTCCTGTGTGTCAGTTTGTGGCCATTGCCTCTGGTTCTGTCACAGAGCAGCACTGAGAGGTGCCTAGTTCTGAGGCCTTTCCACCCTCCCTCCCTTAGGGGAGCTGTACACTTTATGAGATCCACCTTATTCTCTCCATGCTGAACTGGCCCAGCTCTCTCTGTCTTCACTGGAGAGATGCTCCAGCCCCATAATCCACCTCTGTGACCCTGTGGAGCCCTGTGATGGTCTCCCTACATGTCCTGGCTAGCCCAGCTCCTGACTCAGCACTCCTGGTGTGGCCTTACCACAGTTCAAGAAAGGGCAAGGATCTCCTCCCTCCACCTCCTGATGCAGCCCAGGATACCCTCAGTCTTTTTTGCCACAAGAGCACAATACTGACAAATGACAATTATTAGAGTTAATTAATTACTATTAATATTAGTGTTGCTGTGCAGGTTTGGCATTTTTTTAAAATTTAACAGAGATCATATTCTCTCAAGATGTAGCAGAACAGGTGAAGAACATATTTCAGATAAACAAGAAGTGTTAAAGTAATCTAAAATACTGCAGAGGTTTTCAGTGGACTAATTTTAGGTGTGTATTCATTCCTAAAAAACTGAACAAGCTTTATTTCCATCAAATCATTACCATTGACCCTTCTTGGTTGCTCACAGACGTTAGAAAAATATTGTACTTAACCAGCAAATATCTATTGGTAGACAATAACTTCAAACATATGTTTTGACAGTCTTCCAAAATCCTTAGAGAAGGATGAAACAGATCTGTTTTTCCTGACCAACAAGATTGCAGAATCATTAGGAGGCAGTGGATACAATGTGGAAAGACTGTCAGTTCCATATGTGCCCCAGGTAACAGGTAAGTGGTAATTAATAGCAACACCACTTAGTAGCAATTATTAAGAATGTTTTCCTAATGTGTTGTGTGCCAGTGAAATGTAATGTGACTGTTTGCCAACAAAACCTAATCAGATCATTTTGTCTTCTCAAGGTGGTTTTTTTTTTTTCTCATGAGCTACTGTATTATTGCTAAGAAGTTTCAAAGATTTTTTTTTTTTCCTTAAGGAATGGAAGTGAGGCAGAAGGTCCTAGAACACATTTTGACTCTTTTTAATGAAGTCTCTGCTTCAAAAGAATACCTGTACTGACTTATCTAGAAAATGAGAAAAGAATATACAAGTCAGCTTTTCATGTTAACATTGGATGAAAGATACTCCATCCTTTTGCTATATGGTCTTGTGCTGATTTATTTGTCTTAGTTAAACTGTCAATGAGCAGATGTTAATTTAAGCAAGAATGAGATATTTTCCTATATCAGGTACCTATGCAAGCTTAGTGTAACAGTGGAAATAAAGTTGCCTGAGGAAGGTTTGTGGGAGTTGGTGCTGCACAGGCTGAGTGAATAATGTGACAAGGACTAGCTAGTATGGGACATTTGTGTGGTTTTGGCTTTTAATATGTTTTTAACAGCCAATTGAGCAAATTATTGAAAACTATGTGATTGAAGAATTTGTTCTTAAACACATGTGTTTGGTGACTGTATATAAATGGGTTGCTATTGTAATAGACTCGGGGATATCCCAGCCCAAAGCATGGCCTTTTTAAAGTACCTGGCAATAAAATGTGATTTCTGTATTCTGTAGCTCACACATAGAAAGAACCACAGTACATACAGATAGTGAGTGCCAGATGTGTTCTCTTGAGTCTGATTCAGAGACACTGCTGCCTGCTCTTGAATCTCTCTTTTGGATAGTTACTGTGGGAGGAATTGGGCTCTCCAGACAGCAGATGTGGTTTTGTCCCAAAAATGCAAGCAGGCACATTAGTGATATGTTCCAGCACAGCCACAGTGTCTGTTTTCTGTTGCTGGCTGTCTACTGAGAAAAAAAATGTTCCTATGCTTATTTCTTCTGGCACCTAAAACCAGTTAACATTATATTTTAGTATGGGCAGAAGAGGTGGGCAGCAAGTGAGGAAATGTTACAGGCTTGGAGTGAATGAGAATGGAGTGAGGAAGATAGCCTGGTTTGAAATTTATGTTAAGCCTCTTCTAGAAGCTCAGATATATTTGTACCCAAATGACCTTAGTAAGATTTTCTTGTACACTTTGCTAAAAATGCGTTCCCACACAGGAAGAGACGCAAGTTCTGACATCAACATTAATTGAGTTTAGCTGCAAGTGTGATTAACTGCCTCTGCAGGTGATGAGAAATTGCCATATTTAATCCTTAGTAAATGTGAATCAGATGGGTTCAGGGATTTTGTCATTTTTTTATAAAGAGCAGCAACCAAAACTTGTTTCTTGACTGTTGCCGTAGCCAGTTAAGTTCATCAATCTCTGATCCTGTGGAATATTGAGCTTCCCAAGCTTTTCATTTAACTGAATCAGGACCAAGTGAATATTTTGTAATTCCTAAGCTTTTCTTTTTTTACAGCAATGAAATGTTACATTTCTGCTATTAAGATTAGCTAGAATGTAGTGTTTCAAAAGAGATCATTAATCTTAATAAAGAAACAATCCCTTTTTTTGTATATTCCTGTGAAACCTAGGGTTGAACCAAAATGCCAGGCAATATTTCATCCTAATTATTTCTATTTCCAAATATCAGTGTTATGATGCCTAACAATGACTTATAGAACATAATTTTCTCATCTTGTCTTTGTTTCATGTCTTGATACTTCTTAACAACTAGAAACACTTTCGTATTTGCAAATTTTTATACCTGTTTCTCTTTCTTACTTGAGGGAGAAAACTAATTTAAAAGTCTTCAGTCATTTTTTGTCTACATATACTTACATATATATATATATATATATATATATTTAATTTGACTCTATTTCCATCAGGCAAAAAACCTCATAAATGCAAACACAAGTCAAAAGGTAAAAATGAGCTGTAGGTCAGCCTGCTCTCCTGCCCTGTGGTGTGTCCCTATAGGATGTGCAGTCAAAAAATGCTTTAGAAGGCCTAAAGAGCTTTAGGCCAGAAATTGTGTTGTACTTAGTGGATTTAGTGTTTCCTTATGCTTTTTTTTGTGTCTCCCTTTGACCTGCCTGTAGCAATGTTAGCTGCTGTGGGGTTTGCTGTTGTGTTTGCTCATGATTTTGTACTCTACCAAAAAGTAGTTTCCTGTTTTGTTTTCCTGAGCAGGTACTAGAATCATAGGTATCATTTTTGTGATGGTACTAATTACCTCTTTGAGTGACATTACAAAACCTGTAGAAAGTTGGAAGAAGCTCTCAGTTGTTCAAAGAATGATGATTCATCTTAATCACTGGCCATTCAAGATAATGACTGCACAAAGAACAGAGTCCCTCACCCAGGAAAAGAGGCACCTTAAAGGTCATCTTGTTCCAAGCCCTTGCCATGGGCAGGGGACACCTTCACTATCCCAGATTGTTCAAAGCTTCATCAAACCTGGCCTTGGACACTGCCAGGGATGGGGCAGCCACAGCTTCTCTGGGCAGCCTGTGCCAGTGCCTCAGCACCCTCATGGGAAAGAATTTCTTCCTAATATTTAATCTAAATCTACCCTCTTTCAGTTTAAAGCCATTGTCCCTTGTCAGAAGTGATGGAGCCCACCTTGGTCAGTGAGGTGACACACAGAGCTGCTCCCATTGCCCAGGCAATGGGGCCATGGCTTCTGGGACAGCCTTGGCAGGGGCTGGGCCAGTGGGGCTCCATCACTGTCCTTGAGCCCCTGGGCTCCTTCATGTGTGTGGATGAACACTGTATTTTATAACAGAAAAAAATGGTAATTGTCACAATTTTTTACCCACTTAATATGTTGAAATTAGAGATAAATAGGCATATTTCATATGCAAGTTTAGTGAGGCATCCATTACAAAAATGAATTCTGTCCAAAATAGTTCCTGAAATGTATCTCCTGGTGTTTGTGTGTCAGTTCTAGAGAGAGCAGCAAGATGGCAGCAGAGATGTGGTTTTGTTGGGTGTTTTCTCTTGCAGGCTGAGGTGCCTTCCTCAGATTTGGAGTGTATTGGGTCATGTACCAGTGAGCCATCAGGAATTAAAAATTCAGTAAATCCTTCAGAATGCCATTTCAAATGCTTAGGGTGTCTGAGAACCTGGCAAATATTGGTAGAATTCAGGTGTTTTTCACTAATCTTGTTCTTTCACTGCCTCTTGATCTTAAAATGACATTTCATTTATGTGACTTCTGAAAGTTATTTCTTGGTTTTTAAAAGCTAAGCATGTTCAGCTCTGCTGGAATGAATTCTGTTTGTTCATGCTCAATATTTGCACTGCAAAAGCACTTTGCTTGGCTAGAAGTGGTTTAAACAAAGGTTGCAGAAGAACCAGCATAAATTGCCTTGTCATGGGGGTGTTTTGCAGTTCTTCTCTTTTTTTTTAGTATCAAGTGCCTGTAGCTGCTTCTAACTGTGCAGTGCAAGTCACCAGATAATAATATCAAGGTCCAAATGGCTTGATCTTTGCTAAGATCTAAAATGTGACATTGCAATTCATGATTTTGGAAATGACACACACAGAAGTCAGGCCACTCAAGTGTCTGTTTGTCAGAGGATCTTTGTGACAAGTCTTAAAATGTATTTTTACTGTTCATGAGAATCTTTTGTTAATATTTTAAATGTCAAAAATGAGAAAACACTAGTGGTGCAATGTCCTAGGACTGCAGTCACAGAAGGAGATTCCATCATGATGGATCATTTGATCATAATCTCCTTATGCATTAATTAAATTGTTTTGCTTCTTTTAGTATCAGCACAGTTGGTCTTATTCTGACAACTTTTTAGGCCAGCTGGACCTGCTATAATATTTGTAGGAAGTGAGAAATGGAGAGAATTTTTTTTCACCCAGTAGATTTTTAGACTTGCTGAATATGGTACTTGTAGCAACAAGAATAAGGAAGGATTGTTGTTCATTTCGATTCAGAAATCTTTGTTTCTTCTGTCAATGAATCGTATTCCATAAGCCCTTTTCTGTTTCAGAATACCTTAAAATTAAGACATTAATATTTCAATTTCACAATTAAAAAAAAAGGCAGGCTTTTGTAAAGGATTTTAGAGCTGTGTATCATCATGTGCTCTATTATTATTATGCATTTGAATAAGACATCAGTTTTTAAAATTCTGGACTTTCAAGGGAAAGTTGAAAAGATCTGTAATAAGAGGAGGGAGGGACTATGAAAAGGTTATTTTTCTTCATATTTAGTAATTTAGAGCAGTAACTCTAAATGTATCATTTTTCACAGTTCAAATGATAAAATAGATGATTTGGGTTAAACAGGCATATGGAAATAAATCTGCATCTAATGGGTAGAAATTTGACCGAACCTGTTTCAAGAGTGTTATGCAAAAAGTGAAATAATTTCTCCTTATGCTAGATGAGGACAGACTCTCCAGGAGGAAGAGTATTGTGGACACAGTGTCTCTTCAGGTGGATATTCTGTCTGGCTGCGGCGTAGAGGATAAGGTATGAAAATCACAGATTATTTTACAGCAGCATCCTGACTGGAGGGAGGGGGGAATGTAATTGAAGTATTCCCAGGAAGTCAAGTACCTGATTATTCTAGCAATGTTAAACATTTTGGGGGATTTGTTTTTTTAAGTTGTGAATTTGCAGAAATGTGTTGTCAAAGACACTCTTATTGAATAAATAAATAGAAAATATAAATAAATAAAAATTAAACATAAAAGTAAAGATCTTATTGTTTAAAAGGTTCGAGTATTTGTCACTACAGTTTTTACAGATTATGGCGTAGCAACACATTTATTTACATGCTGAACAACTGGCATTTTATGAGTAGATATTCTAAAATGTTTTCTTTGCCTTTTGAGGGATACAATAAATTTCAGCATCTGTATCCCTGTATCATTTGAAGTATTTGAGAGACTTGTTCAGCAGCCTGGGGCTGTGAGATACAAGCCTAGAGAAACAGAAGCCTGGTGGAGACCTGCAGTCTCTGAGTGAGGACTGGGCAGGCTGTGTGCACCTGTGTCACTGTTCCTCTCCAGAGGAGTTTGACATGCAGCACAGGAAGTATAAAGTAGCAACAAAAAGTTCATATGTAGGGTACAGGAGCTGATATTAATTATCCCTTAGGAAGACCATATTATAATTAAAATTATCCCCCATCGTTTGACACTTCATTTGAAATATTTCTTAAAATAAATTTCTACTTCTACTGGATATTTTTCAAGGTTCTGCCGATTTTTATTAAGTAGATTTCTACTGCAGTGGAGATGAGCTGTTGAAATGGAGGTGTGTGTACCTCAGATGAGGTACAGATGGTTCCTACTTTTGACATCTTCAAGCACAACTTGCCTGGAGACACAAAGCAAAATGTGTGGACTGAATCAACCTGAGTGTTAGTTAAAAATTCAGTATTAAGCTATAGCAAAGGAGCAAGCTTTACTTTAGACAGAAGTGATATGTTAACATTATTATTGTTATTATTACTGTTATTACTATTATTATTCCTTTCTGCTTTGTGCTCAGTATACCTCAGATGATCTTTTGTGTTCACTTCTTGCTTTTGTGCTTTAGCAAGGATACAGATAAAAGTAGAAAGAATAAAAAGGTATTTGAAAAATGAGACAATCAGATCTCTAACTTTTTGAAGCTAGTAAATGCTCCTCACAGGACTGAGGCTGTTTGACATAAGTATTCTTTTTTAAAATCACTCATTAAATGTGTTTATGTGTGATTGAACAACTCCCTTGTAAGTAGAGTTAAATGAAAGAAGTTTCCATTTCAGATTTCAAGTTGTGCTGATGTTATGTCAAGCACTGATACATAGACTATTTTGAAGTGGATGTAGTGGTTGTAGATAAAATCTTTTTATGGATTCTCAGCTTAATGTGATCTTAATGTAGTCCAGTGTCTTAGATAGTGAATTCCTTTTTATCTCTTAAAAATGTGAATTTTATTCATCAGGAACAGAGGAAGCAAAGTATTCCTCCTTTACTTGCTTTATGAGCTTTGTTTACAAGGCAGTGGATAAAACAGAATTTTCCAGTTAGCTGACTGCACCTTCATATCTGTATATGAAATTTGGTTTTCTTGCTGTGTAGATTAGTCAGTATAGCAATCCATAACCATCAGCAGAACTCAATTGAAAAAAAAACCCAAGTATAAATCTTTATGATTGAGAGGATTAGCTACTTCATTAATGGAAGTTTTAGGACATAATGATGTATGATATCATTTCTGCACTGAGATAGAAGACTGTTTATGCATAAAATAGCTGTTATTTTATAAAATGCAAATGCAATTCTTCTGTCAGGAGACTCAAAGTTTTTTTGTGGTGCCAAGTCTGTTAGTGAATCTTGTTCAGGAAGGTGAGTTATTCCATAGTTATCTCCATTCATAAGGTGAAAGCACTTGTAAATGCAGGTTGTGCTTCTGGGGTATTAATTAACCAAGTATAATTCTGGGTAATATCAGCAACTAATGTGGAGGTTAACTAGCACTATGAAAGGCAGCCATAAACAGCTAACATTTACCAAATGTGAGTTGTATAAAAGATGATTTCAGAACCTGGATACTCTGGATCTGTAGCCATATCCACAAATATTTGTCAAAAAATTATTTATTAATTTTTATTTCTTTAGTGGTAGAGAATACATGCTTATTAATTAAAACCTGTTAGAAAAATATAATTTACAGCTGCAGCTCATGAAATAACTCATGTAAAAAGGAAACAGCTACTTCCTTTTCCCTTAACAGCAGTTCAAGCCAATAAATTAAAAAATTGAAAGAACCATAATCTTCCTAATGAAATAAAGGAACTTTTTGCTGCCTTACCCCTTATCTTAAATCATAATTGACCATTCTAAAGAGTTAGTGTTTATCAGGAAGAATAAAATTGCTGCCTGTTCACATGTTGGAAGGATTGAAGTGGGGAAATTCAAGCCAAGAAACCATGTTATGTTCAGGTGAAGACTGTTCTGCCATCTAAACATTCTCCCCTAATGCCAAGAGGGTGGCTTCACTATAACTGTATTTACTGGTATAGAGACTAGGTCTATAGCAAATTGAAACACTTCAGTAGTTTTGCATCCTCAAGCAATTCCTGGTGAAGTGCATCTGCAGCAGCAAATGGATATTCCTATCAGCAGATGAACAGATTTTCTCAGTGCATCAGCCATAGCTCATTATGAAGAGCCCTTTAACTCCGGAGTTTATGGTGTAAGCACCAAATGATTTGGATCCATCGTGGTACCAAGTTAACCTAAAGCAGGAACCATTCTCTGCTCTGCACTCCACTGTCAGCTCCCATTTTAGCATCATATTCTGGTAGCTGAGTTGGGCCAATTGAATCTGCTTTCCTAGAGGAACCCCTTTGGGGGTTCTCTCCCAAATTTGCCCTGAACCAAGACAACACTCAGCGAGCCTCAGGAAGCAGCTGATGTTATTGGCAACAGCTGCCTAAGAACCAGTACTGAGATTTTACAGTACTGAAACACTACAGCTTATTCCTGACCTAAAGGACTCCTCTGCCTAAATCCAAATCCATTTATAAAGGATGTTGCCATAGAGCATCTTGAGTACAATTTGGAAAGTTTTCCGTGATCTCAATTGATAAAAATCTCCTCACTAACTGCAGTGGCCTAAAAATGTGAATTAGTGTTCTGTTGCCTGTCACAGAAAGTCCAAATGAAGTTATTGGAGACTTGTAAGGCAGAAAAGTTCTGGCTGTTTTGGCCTTCTGTGTTTATCATATTCTTCATTTTTTAGAAGCTTGTATGTTATATGTGATGATTAAGGAGTTTTGTTTCTGTGTGTTTAGGTTGATAATACTGAAGAAATCACCTTTGAAGCTTTGAAGAAAGCCATTGGTAAGACTTTTTTACAGTTGTGTTTGTGCAGCATAGTTCACTATTACTATGGAATTGCTGAAGAAAAGGGAGAGGCCAGAATAACATAAAATATTACTTTTTTTTTCTTTGCAGCTAATAAATTTATTAAGAACCCCAGTTACTTATTTCTAAATCTCTGAAATGATACCTTGATAATGTTAGTGAATTCATTTTCTGAAATTAATGGGGCTGAATGAAAAGCATCTGGAAATGTCTGTCATCTATTACATTTGCAGTACAGACAAAGCTATAAATGTAAGATATTCAATTTACATTGAGTGATTACTTATGAGGTAACTTATAAGTATTTTTTCTGTATTAATATTTTTGGGTCTTCAATGCATTCAAAACCTAGGTTGTAAATAACACATTGTGGATTTTAAAGTACTAAGATTTTTTAAAAGATTATTTTTCTGACAAGTGACATGGCTGTGCGAACACAGAATTATCCAAATTCCTTATTTCATATTACTGTAAGTAATTGCTAATTAATGCTTTTCAGTCTACCAAAATCCTGTTTAAAATCTGGATTAAACATTGATGTTAAGAATAGGAGATATTTTCTGAACAGTAAGAAAAGTCTGGCCACCTGTCAGCATGATACTGGGAGATTCTTGTTTCCTCTTGAATCCGAACCTGTGTGCAGTAAGTGAGAAGTGCAGGCAATAAAGCAAAATAGAGCCTGGATGTTACTTTTAATTAAAGACTTAGTAAGAAAGGGGAAAAATTGGGTCCTCAAACCATCTCCCTGAAACTTTATCTGTGTTTTGCTTTAGGAGCAATGCCAGATGACTGATCACTTAAGAATGGTTGCACTTCATGCACATTCCTTATTCCTTCTGCAGTGCACATTTGATATTTCTTGTACTTCATAGGTAAAGACTGCATTTGTCTTTATTTTTTTTTCATTATTCTTTTAAGATAACAATGGACTTGAAGAACAGGAAAAGGAAAAGAGGCGTCTTGTGATTGAGAAGTTCCAAAAAGCACCATTTGAAGAAATTGCAGCTCAATGTGAAACCAAAGTGAGTTTCTGCAAAATGTTAGCACTGAGGATATCAGTGTAGGCATTAGTGGGCATGTGCTGACTGAAGGTGATTTGAGTTGTTGTGTCACTGCTGCTGTTACTTGCTTAGAAGTTCAGTTCTTTGGTTTGTCTCCACTGCTATCAATGGTGGGAGATTCCAGTAATTTTAAGTGTGTTTTTGTTTGTTCCCAGACCATTTGGAAGGTAATGGGTAACTTGTACATTCTCCACCTTAATTCCTCTTCCTTGCTCTGTTTGAAATCCAGGTTCACAGTCCATTCCTATTTCATTCTGGGATAACTGGAACAGCATTTAACCCACTATGTATTTTAAATAACTAAATGTATTTCAGGTTTGTTAAACTCCTGTCTGCAACAGCAGAATTTGCTCCATAATTCTTGGCACTCCAGGACAGGCTCACCCAATCTCAAATACATCTTTAAGGCTCAGAATCCTTGCAGCAGTGAGAAAGGAAATTAAGAAATGTGACCTAGATTTACATGTGGCAGTGTGGAACACACTCACCTGAGTGTGGCCTGGCACACTCATTGTAGCCCAGTTCATTATCTAGGAGTAATTAATGCATTTTTAACTTTTTTTTTTCCCCTAGGCAAACTTGCTTCATGATAGACTGGCACAGATACTGGAACTCACCATCCGGTAAGGCTTTATGCAAGAAGAACATCATACCTGAAAAATTATCATTGTTAAAGAATTGTGGCTGTTTTCAGATGGTTATGTCATAGTGTTCTCAAACACATGTAATAGGAAGAAAATAATTGCTGTAACTGAATGCTGTGGTTTAGCCCTGATAGGCCCCATGTAGCCACTGGCTTCACTTCCCTCAGCAGGATGAGAAAGAGAATTGGAAGGGTAAAAGAAGAAAAACCATGGTTGAGATAAGAACAATTTAATAGGAAAAGCAAAAGTCACACATGCTAGCAAAGCAAAATAAGAAATTCATTCACTTCCCATGGGCAGGCGGGTGTTCAGCCATTTCCAGCTAATCTCTTTGGGAAGGCAAATGCCATCACTCTGAATGTCCCTTTTTTCCTACTTCTTTCCTTGAAGCTGTTACTGCTGAGCATGGCACCATATGACATGGGGTATCCCATGGATCAGTTGGGGTCAGCTGTCCCATTTGTGTCCCCCCCCCAACTTCCTGCACACCTGCAGCCCATGCCCTGGCCCAGCAGTGTGAGGAGCAGAAAAGACCTTGACTCTGTGTAAGCTCTGCTCAGCAGTAACACAAACATCTCTGTGTTATCAACACTGTTGCCAGCACAAATCCAAAACACAGCCCTATATCAGCTACTGTAAAAAAATAATTATCCAAGTCAAAACAAGCACACTGAAAAAGAGTACTTTTTGATTTTCTTACTTCTTTGAATCTTCTTGATAGTGGATAATATCCAGAAACCATGTCATTGTGTCTTACAGTATCTCTGTGTCCATCAGTAGTATGGCAGGATGCTGTTGTTTTCTCAATGCTGCATCTGGTTGAGAAAATAATTAGATATTGACCACCCCAAGCAGTACATGGTGTTATTATAGAGAGTTGTGCACATCATTATGCAGAATAAATAGCATTTATTAGCAGTAAGATGCATTTTGATAGTTCTGTAACATCAGTGAAATTGATGATGCAGACAAGAATATAAAAATCCTCAGGGCATGATAATTTAATTAGAATTTGAGGACTAGGATAAAATGCTGTTGGTATTTTATTATTTTATTATATACTGTTGGTATATATATGGAGGGTAGTTTAATCTTGTTTCTCTCCTGTAAGTGTGTAAATTTATATAAAAGCAATCCATGTAAGTGTAAATTCTGTATATTGGTTGTGCTTCTCACACAGTCCTCCACCCAGCCCCTCAGGAACGATGACCATGACTGCTGGACATCCTCATTACCATTCTGTTCCAGTCTATGAGATGAAGTTTCCAGATCTTTGTGTGTATTAAGTGTCTTCTGAAGTCTGCTGGACATTATTTAGAGTAGAGTACAATAGAAAGAACAAGATGAGTTTTCAAATTTTATTGTTTATTGTATCTAACTTTAATATAATGATGGACATGAGCCAAATACAGATTATTTTAGCCAAATTCATGAAACTGTCTTGAATTGTTTTATTCTGTAATATATTTTGAGTTAGGTTTTTCACAGACCATGTTTCTTCATTTTCGTATTTGAGTACATGTAAAAGATTTAAAACTTGTCTTGCCATATAGGTAAATATTTCAGTTACTCTAGGAATTTGTATTGCTTCAAATTCCTTTAATTTGAGATATTGTAACTGAAAAACCTATTAAAGCCTTTGTTTGGTTTGGTTTTTTGGTTTTTTTTGGTTGGTTTTTTTTTGGTTGGTTGTTTTGTTGTTTGTTTGTTTGTTTTTTTACTCCTCTCCTCCTCAATTCTCTGTCAAACTAGAATGCTTTTGGCTTGCTTCATCTCATTCAGTGTAACCAGGGGAGCCCAGCCTGAGCTCCCTCTTGTTCCTGCTGTCACAGCTGCTCAACTTGTTTGGTTTGGAATGGTTGGAAAAACCAATACCTTACATGTGTTCAAATACAGTGAATGAGTTAATGAGCACTTATTAAGTATATTTTGATGCATCACATAACATGCTTTTTAGATAGCTACATCCAGTATATGTACTGTGTTTCTTGCTAAAAGTTAAATCTTAAGCTTTGCATAAGAGAGGAGAAATCTCCTCTTGAAGCACGGAATTGTGCAATATATTTCATGTCTTAAGATGTATGGTTTACAGACTGTACTTTTGAAAACACTGTAGTATTTTACTGTCTGCTTTAGTATAAATACAGGAGAGATATATTTAGTATAGCAGAAAATAAACTGAGGGCATTTTAAATCATAAATACTAAAACTATATTCTGTGAGACATTTCTCTGTAGTTTATAACAGCTTTTTAGTGATATTTTAGAAATTGAAAGTAAACTCAATGAAACCATTAAAAGATCAAGAATTTATTACATATATTTTCAAGCAAAAGCATTTTTAGAGACGCATCTCTGTGTTTGTTTTTGTTTCATTTCTCAAACCTTTAAGGTAAATTTCATAGGTTTATGTATCTGAGCATATACTATTCAAATGTAAATAAAGTAAAACTGATAAAGTAAATCATGGACATTTGATGATAATCATCAAGGCTGTCTTAATGACTCACTAAATCCTGCCAGCAAAAAAAGATAAACAGCATTCATTGATGCCATGAACATTAAATCTGAAGTCCCTTAATTTATCTGAATCTGACTGGGCAGTGTAAACATGAATGAATGCTCTCAAATATCTATAATAAATGTAGACATTTAATTGAGTGTTTTGGATGAACAGTGAACATGAAGAAAGTAACTGAACCTCAGTTAGGCCTGCTTTGAGCAGGGACTTGGTTTAGATGACTTTCAGAAGTCCCAACCTAAATTAATCTTTGATTGCATAACTCATGTTCTGAAGGATTATTGGCCCTGCTAATTTGCTGACTGGAGCATTTGCAAACCCATTGTAAAAAGGATTTTAAATTTTTTTAACAGTAGTCCAGTATTGTAGTGGACGATGTTTAAAGGCCTGATGTGGCATGACATAGAGAAATATCAGCTACTTAAACCTATGAGATGACATGCTGAGTTTCAGAAAGCATTCACAAAGCTCAAAAGGTAATTGAGACCTTCTTTTCAGTTTAACAGTGCAATCACAGCTGTTAGTGGATGACGAAACAACCCCTTATCTACAGCATTCCGTTGTGATTTTTACTGCTGCAGCGTGTCAGCCTGATCAGACCACAGTCTACACATAAATAGGACTCTAGCTTTTAGTTTTCACTTTTTTTTCCTTTTTTTTAAGGTAAGACTAAGAGTTTTTGGCCTGTATAAAGACTGTAATTTTTTAAAAAGTAAATCCAACATAGGGATACAATGTAAAAAACCTACCCACTCTGTCATTTTTTTAAGAATAACACTTGGCACTTTTGTACAAAAAGAAGGAGTCTTAAGTAATACAGAATGTACTTCTGTTTGCACTTGTGCAGTATGGAGACTGTGCTGTAAATACAGGATTGTTTCTGTGATTGAATTCTGTTGCATGAATGCTGCATGTGAAAAAACTAGATTCAGCATTTCATTTTCTGTTCTGTTAATGAAGTATTTTTCCTTTATGGTAATGGTAGGTTTCTGTGTTTCCAGTGTTCAGTTTGGGAAATGCAGGTGTTGTTCAGGTGTAGTGCAGGGAGTGAAGAGTTTGTAACACTCTGTGTGCTCACATGGTATTTCATTTCTTCCTTTATGGAAATTCAGGGAGTCTGTAAGTTGAGAATTGGTTCACTGAGGAGTCTGTAAGTTGAGAATTGGTTCACTCTGGCCTTTTTAGACACATGGGAGATGGGAGTGACTGTAAAATGTATTGGTTTGGTAGTTACTGTTATATGAGCCAATGAATGAAGCCAAAAGAATTAAGAATGCTGTTTGTTGTACAGTACAAAGCTGCTTTGTTTCACTTCTCTTTAAGTTCTTCAGACAAGCTGCAGAACTTAAAAGCTCCTTATGCAAACTGGCCCTGTGTTATCTGCAACACACTGAGCACTCTGTCTTAATGGATATAATTGGTACCCAGTTTAAATGTATTCCAGCTGTTGCTTGGGGTTCTCTTTCCTATTTTGTCATCTTGAAAAAAATATAGCTTTTGGTAGTGAGTCACTTTAAGATAAATTCATGGTCATACTAAAAGGTAGAAATAGCCTGTTGTCCAAAACCAGAGTAGGGCTAATTTGTCTGTTGTTCCAATGGTAATATATTCTGTACTGTATGTAATGAACCAGTTTCAATAAATGTAAGAACACACTGTGCAATCTATATTTAAGCAATAAAATAAACCAAAATTTAAAAATTAATATTTTCTAAGGTGTCAGTTAATTTTTATTGCTCACAATTTATATGTCAATTACTAATTTTTTAGCATTTAAAATAGCTCTCAGTTTGCACACCCATTTGTTTTTTGCAGATTTTACAGCATTGCATCATTATTAAACTGCTACATTTATTTACTATTAAACCTGCACAGGCTTGAGAGATGGGGCTGTGAGAATCTCATGGGGTTCAGCAAGGCCAAGTGCAGGGTCCTGCTCCTGGGGACAGGGCAATCCCAAGCACAGACACAGGCTGGGAGGAAAATGGAGAGAGAGCAGCCCTGGGGAGGACTTGGGGATGTTGGTGGGTGAGAAGCTCAGCAAGTCCCAGCCACAAGCTCTGGATGCAGCCCAGAAACCAAATGTGTCCTGGGCTGCACCCAGTGCCCCATGGGCAGCAGGGCAGGAGAGGGGATTGTCCCCTCTGCTCTGCCCTTGGGACACCCCACCTGAGCTCCTGCATCCCACTCTGGAGCCCCCAAAACAAGAAAGATGTTCACTTCTCCAGAGGAGGCCACAAAGTTGATCAAGGGGCTGGAGCATCTCTGCTGTGGAGACAGAGTTGGGGCTGTTAATCCTGGAGGAACATGATTTCCCCTGGCTCTGGGGAGACCTTATAGCACTTTGTAGTTCCTAAAGGGGATTCAGGAGAGCTGAAGAGGACTTTGGGCAAGGGCATGCAGATAAGACAAGAAAGAATGGCTCCAGATTGAAAGAGTGTGTTTAGATCTAACTTTAGATGTTAGAAAGTTCTTTCCTGTGAGGGAGGTGAGGCACTGGAACAGGCTGCCCACAGAAGCTGTGGCTGCCACATCCCTGAAAGTGTTCATGGCCAGGTTAGAAGGGGCTTTGAGCAACCTGGTCTAATGAAAGGTGTCGGTGCCCATGGGGCAGGCAAAGAATTCAATGATTAAAAAGTTAAAATATTGAAGTAGGAAATATTTGTAGATTAGTTGTTAATAAATTAGTTGTCTGCTTTTGGGAAACATGTAGGTTTTGGCCAGCTGTGCCCCAAGCCTATGAAAAATATGGTGTAAAGTGACTGTGAGAGTGAGAGAAGAAAGAAAAAAGCTATGCTATTTTTTTTTTTTAATCTGCTTGTCATTTTTTAAATTATTTTAGCAATGATTTCTGATTACAAATAAATGTAGCTAATCATGACTAGATTATTTAAGACTTCACTTTATCATTACAATTCATGTGGTAGTAATTAGGGCACAACTTGGGTGTTAAACTCTTCCTGAAATAGAGTTACTGGGGAAAAAAGCTCAAAGGAATTAATGACAAATTGCCTGAACAAAAGCGTATTTATTTTGTTATTTCTCTTTCACCTGATTGACTAAATGATCCATCCCTATCTCTGCAGTCAGAAAATTCAGCATAGTTGAGTGAATGTTTGCATAACCATGAAGGTAGTCATAATTAGCAGAAAGGAATGGGAGTTTATTTTAAGGTGAGGTGTTCAGAGCAGCAGCACCACTCTTGTCAAAGAGATGAACTGATGTTATTGCAGCTCTGCAATGCAATTCATTCCCCTGCTTACAGGCCAGTTTTCCACATTTCACCTTACCATTTGTCTCACTTTCTCATTGCAATATTTATTTATAAATTCTGTGAAATGTAAAATAATTTTTCATCCCTATAATAAAAGCTGATAAAAGTTGCAGTGTAATGCAGATCTCATCCTCAGCATAGGACAAAAATGGGCATCTTGCAGTTTTAGCAATTTGCTTCAGTTCTGAGATGTCCTTTTTCTGTACAGCATAAAGGGGGAGTTAATTAAAATCTTGTCTGCAAATAGAATTTCTCACATCACTTATTTGACCTGTTAAAGAAAGTTTTTTCACTAGGGCTGAAGGTGAAGCCACTGAGATCCAGAGGGATTCACGTGACTAAATACCTTTGGGGTTTATTTTGGGAGTTTGTGTGGTGGGATTTGTTTGTTTGTGCTTTGTTGGGGAGGGGGGGTGATAATGTTTGGTTTTTTGTTTGTTTGTTTAGGGTTTGTTTGTTTGGGGGGTTTTTAAATGTAGTAATCCTTTGCACTTTTAATGTAGGAAAAAGGGGGTGTAACACCAGCCAGAAGTTTATCCAATATAAACTGCTCATCCAAGAACATTCACAGGCATTTTCACCTGCTCTTCTCACACTGTTCAGTTCACACAGGATCACATGCTGGGGTTCAGTGAACTGCTACAGGATCTGGAAGAACACAGGCAGCATCTCTGCACCCAGCATGAGGGTACATGGATAATGTCATTGGATTTTAGGGATACATGCTACAGTCATTGGATTTTCGGGATACATGCTACAGTCATTGGTTTGTGAGAATACTTTAGTGACACAGTTCAGTCCTGTAGAACAAGATGACGGAGAAGAAATCCAGACCTTTCAGAGCAGCTGAATGAATCACTGGGAAGTTTGCAGCATCATTTTTGGTTCTATTAAGTGTTGGTGAGTCACAGAATCATAGAATGGGTTGGGTTGGAAGGGATCTTTAGAGGTTTGCCATGGCCTGATATTACACCTCTCTCCCTTCAAGTCTGTTTTAAAGCTGTCAGTCAGCCCTGATATCTTACGAGCAATGTGAGAAATGTGAATCCCATCTGACACAAACAGCTCTGGTGTTGTGCTGATGATCCTATTACCACAAAACCCCAAATTCTGGCTGTGACCCCAGCCATGGGGCCAGGTACTGGTAGACTGAGTCTGTCTGCTCCTGCAAGGATAGGGGGAAAAATTACCTATGCTCCACATTTCCTATCAGCCATTTCAAGGTGCTGAAGTCTCTTTTGATCATCCTTGGACTGCACATTGTGATTTCATCACCCCAACATGGAAGAATAATTGTCCAAGGGCTGTACCAGGCTGGAAAGTTTCCTGCTCATGTCCTTAACTTGGGCCCCAGAGAAGGAAGAGGCCTCCCTAAGAGGAAGGTCAGTCCAGCATTTTGGACCTGTTGTCCTCAGAAAGGAGTCACACAGCTATAGACAGGAATGAACAAAGGAACTTTCATGCAATTACTTTAGCTTAGCTTCTGGGTGCTTCCTGCTAAGCTCAGTAAAGGAAAAATGTCCACAGAGAGAGTTGGAGTAGTTGCAGGTTGGTTTAATTAAAAACCTGGAAAACTTGGACACTATCAGCAAGATCCAGTCTGAACCAAGTGCACAGTTAACAAAAGTCAGTCTGATCATAACAGTTTTTACATTAAAAAATCAAGTGAAGTTATATAGAACACTGTCCAATAATTATTTAAGGTAATATCTGACCTAGACAGATGCTCCATAGTGCTGACCTCCCCACAGTAAGGAGTTCATACAGCCTAACACCTAATCCTAGCCTATGATTATGTCATTTGTGTGCTGGAGAGTGTGAGGCAGCGTGCAGAGGATGAGGAGGGCAGGTGTTCAGTGCCTGGCTGCTGTCCTGGCCCTTCCCCTGGAGGTGGGTGGCGTTCTGCCCTCAGGGTTATCTGCCCTCGTGCCCCCCAGTTCTGGCGTTCCCCAAGTGACGCCGCGTCCCTCTCCTGGCTCTCCGCAGTCCTCCCCGCCGGGCTCCTTCCTCCTCACTGCTCTCCTCGGAGCTGGAAGCCCCTGTGCCTGTTTGTGAGCCTGCGTGGGTGCCTGCTGGAGCCCTTTCAGCAGAGTCCCCTGGGCAGGAGAGCTTCTCCTCCCGGCAGCCGTGCCCGTGGGGCAGCTTCAGGCTGGCGTTGAAGGCAGCAGAGGCCATGCACTCGGCCGCGGCCGCGTCACAGGCACAGAGGAGCTTCTCACACGTGCTCTGGCCAATGCCTGAAAGAGAAATTTCACAATTCACCTTTGAAAGCTGTTGAACTTACTTCTTGTATAATTTGCCACGGGTAGATG